CCCCCGAGCTGCCAGTACCAGCCAGGAGGGACATGGATCCAACAAACATGTGGTTGCATTGAGCCTCCCCAGGACCCTGTCCACGTCCTCGGGCGAAACAGAGTCAAACTCCTCCCATTCAACCGTCTCAAGGCCTGCTTCTGTCTCCTCCCCCTGGGCCGACCAGTCGGAGTCCAAGCCTTCTCGGATCCGCGCGACTAAGGGGAAAGCAAAGCTTTTTATAGAAGTTGAAGGCTACAAGGTGGGAAGTACTAAGGATCAGTTTGGGGGTAGTAGGCAGGTCCTTGTCTATGTACCTAGATTGTTAGATAAAGTGGCCTTTTCAGGACAAGTCTTGGGCAAGACCCTTGTTAAGGAGATGTAATGTTGAGATAATCAGGCTGAATGAGGATGGAATGTTAAGGAATTTCTCACCTTGCTACTACATATGTTGCAGTTCCCTTATTAAGGCTGTTCTTGGGGGATACTTGTGAGCTGATGAGAAAGCTTTTGTTTCATTTCGATGGGATTGCAGGGAGCAGGAAGGGTCAATTTGGGTCTGAGTGGATTAGGCAAAGAGAGGAATGGAGTTGACCCTAGTCACACCTAAAAGAGAGTGAGAAGGAATGCAGCCTCCATTTAGTTTTCTTAGATTTATTTTCTCCATTTACATGGGGACTTTTTTTGTAAAAATATTTAGAATGATGCATTTAAAATAAAAGGCAATTTTGAGAAGCAATTACAGCTGAGATGTAACTGTCTCCCTTATATAGCAGATTCTTTCCTCATTTGATGGTTTTATTTTTTTTTACACTGGCCTTCCTCCCAGAGTAGCTCTTATAATCATGACTTATCTATCTTTTTTGTAAAAATATCCAAAGCAGTTTACAACAAAATTAACACCAGGATTGCAACCTTGGCTCTTTTATGACTCGTGGACTTCAACTCCCAGAATTCCTGAGCCAGCATGGCTGGCTCAGGAATTCTGGAAGTTGAAGTCCACGAGTCATAAAAGAGCTAAGGTTGCCTACCCCTGTACTAGACAATCAAGCAATAAACAATACCCCAATCAAAGAACCACAAGGTCACACAACAGACAACAGCCTACTCAAAGATCCACCAAGAAGAAAACAACACTCTTACCACTCTTACTGACAAGGCAAGTCTCTCTGTATAAACAGAGGGCAAACCTTTCTCCCTTCTGCACTAAAGATGTTACCTAGTTTGGGTAATGAAACATCTGCAAGAAATCAACCAAGCTCAGAGAGCACCAAGGACTCCCAGTTCAATCCTGAGCTACAAATATTATCCTTATTGAAGAACCAACTCTGGAGAAGGCTCTAATGTTAGGAAAGCTGGTAGAGAGAAGAGATTGACCAGCAGGAAGGGAACAAACTCAGTTACAGTGGCAATGGGGGCACTGCTGGAAGGCCTGAAAGACCAAGTTAGGGATATAGATTATCATAGAGAATATGTCACTAAGAGGCAACACTGACTTAAAGGCATATATTCAATAAAGAATCCTCTAAGACAGGGTTATCAAACTGCTGGCCTGTGGGCCAGATGCATCATAGCGAAACTGTGCCCACCCCATTGCCGGCAATGGCAAAAAAAGTCGTGATACGTCACGGCACGTCATGTGACGTTGCGAGTTTGACACCCCTGCTCTATAAGACCTTGGAGCCTAAAGCCAACAACTTAAAATAGAAGCCAGATTCATTTAACAACCATGTTACTAACATAACAATTGCAGTGATTCTCTTAACAACTGTGGCAAGCAAGGTCATAAAATGGGGCAAAACTCACTTAACAGCTGTCTTGCTTAGCAACAAGCTTTGTGATAAATTGTGGTCATTAGTCAAGGAGTATCTAAGACAAGATGTGTGATCTGAAAAATACCTGCTCTGAAACATATTAACTGGAAAAGCGACTTATGGCCATTTTTCACACTTATGACCACTGTAATGGTCATAAGTGATCGCATGATCAAAATTCAGACACTTGACAATTGGCTCATATTTATGACGTTTGCAGTATCCTGGGGTAACATGATCACTTTCTGCAACTTTCTGACAAGCAAAATCAATGGGGAAAGCCAGATTCACTTAACAACCCTATTACTAACTTAACAACTTACCGACTGTCAAAAAAGGTCACGAAATTGGATAAAACTCACCTAACTGTCTCACTTAGCCACAGAAATTTTGGGCTGAATAAGTTGAGGATTACCTGCGTCTGCTGTTTTTGGTTCCCAATCTAATCTACAGTTCTGGGATTTCTAGTAGTAATCTAAGTGCTAACCAAGTCCATCCTTGCTTAGTTTTCTAAGAATAATCAAAATTGGCTACAGGCTGTTTATCTAGAAAAGTCTGCACACCTATGTAACTGCAATCAATAAAATATTATAAAGGCAAGTGTGATTAATCTCATTCTTCCTCCCCAAAGGCCTGGGTGAAAATAGGTGGCAATATATACCAATATGATAAGTAAATAACTTGTTACAAGATGCATCCTGGAATTGTGCAGTCTAAGTAGACAGACTGGAGAATAATAGCCCTTTCCCAGTTTCCTAGAAAATACGGTATTTTACCTATTGTCTGACTCTGAAAGTCCTTTCTAACTATCAGAATTCATAGCCATTGGTAAACTAAATTCTGTACGTGTTTCTAGTCCTGTTTTAAATCATCTAAACTGGTGGCCATTACCAAGCTCACTGCAACGTGTATCTGTAGAGTTAGATTTCAATATCTATTTTCAACAGTAATCAGAAAATGCCTCTGGAAATTGACAAGCCTGAACGGACCGCGAAAGACGCCTCCAGTTTTACCCAAATATATCCTTCAAATCCATTGAACTGCAACTCCCAGGCATCTCAAACGAGGCCCGCGATAAGCACTTAAGATTTGGGGAAGGTTGGGTTTAGGAAAAAGAACGATTCCCTTTCCTAGACGGACTACATTTCCCATGAAGCCACCGAGGAAGCCCATCTCATCCGGGGATTATTTCCGTCTTTTCTCCTTTCCCCTTCCGTAGTTCACCGGAGGGCGAGAGAGAGAGAGAGAGAAAGGGTGGGTACTCCTTTCGGAGCGACGTCGATATGAATCAATCGGAACTCAGTTTCCGCCATAAGCCGACCAATGGCCTTTCTGATGGGCGTCGCCGAGCAGGGAACCCAGGAGGAGGAGGAGGAGGAGGAGAAGGACGACGACGACGACGATGAGAAGTTGGTGAGGAGGTGCCTGGTGGGGGAAAATGGTAGGTGGGCACTCCCAACCCTAGATAGGGAAGCAGCCCCCCCGCCGGCTTTGCGTCCCCTCCCCTTCAGGGAGGAGGCAGGGCTCCCCGGGGGAGGGGGCGTGCCGGGTGGTGGTCTTAAACCGGGCGCAATGAGTGCCAGGCGCTGTGCAGGGGCGGGAGGATGCCGGGGGTGGGCCGGCCTGGGGCTCTCGGATGGGGAGGAAGGGCCGCCAGACGCCTGGCATGCGCCGAGAAGGTTTTTCAGGGAGGAGGGCCTTATCGGGGGGGGGCTGGTGCGTGGTTTGGGGTGCGTGCGTGAGGGCTTGGCCGGGACCCCACCATGGGAGGAGGCCTAGAGGAGTGTGTGTGTGTGTGTGTGTGTATGTAGGTATGTATGTATTTATGTATGTAGGTATGTAGGTAGGTAGGTAGGTAGGTAGGTATGTAGGTATGTAGGTATGTATGTATTTATGTATGTAGGTATGTAGGTATGTATGTATTTATGTATTTATGTATGTGGGTATGTATGTAGGTATGTATGTATTTATGTATGTATGTAGGTATGTATGTATTTATGTATGTAGGTATGTATGTATGTAGGTATGTATGTATTTATGTATGTATGTCGGTATGTATGTAGGTAGGTAGGTATGTATGTAGGTATGTAGGTATGTAGGTATGTATGTATGTAGGTATGTATGTAGGTTTCTGAGGGAGGGGGCTGGAAGGTTTGCCAGGAGGGCCCTGGAAACGCTTGAAGTGGGAAGATGGGGTTGCCGGGTGGGTGGGGTGGGGAGGTTAGATTTCAGCCGTGGATCAGGAAAGGTCCAGAGACCTTGCTTGGGTTGAACATCGCCCGGATAAGCTTAAGGAGGAGGTGTTCCTCCTCCAGCTTCCCTCTGCCTTTGGGGGTGACTGTGGGGAGGGGGAGCTTGTGGGGAGGCTCAGTACCCTCTGCTAGGCTACTGTACAGGTAGTCCTCGACTTACGACCTCAGTTGAGCCCCCACATTTTTGTGGTTAAGCGAAACATTTGTTAAGTGAGTTTTGCTCCATTTTACGACCCTTCTTGCCCCAGTTGTTAAGCGAATTGCTGCTAAGTGAATCTGGCTTTGTCATTGATTTTGCTGATCGGAAGGGCACAAAAGATGATCACGTGACCCCAGATCTTCCTAATTATGAGACCGTTGCCAAGTGTCTGAATTTTGATCACGTGACCATGAGGATGCTGCAATGGTCGTAAGTGTGAAAAACAGTCCTAAGTCACTCCAGCCATTGCAGCTTTGAACGGTCACCAAATGAGTTGTTGTAAGTCGAAGACTACCGGTACTTAATTCAGTCCCCAAACTAGGAAGCGCGTTTAGGCCATGGCATCCAACCCTGCTCAGTTCAGGAATCCAAATGAGAGCATCTCAGACTGTTGGCTGTCTAGACTCTGTTCAAAGTACAGATAGAGGACTCCGTTTTAGTACAGATAGAGGACTCCGTTTTAGCCTCAGGTTTTAAGAATATGGCTTTGATTACTGTTCCATTTGTGCTCCTTTCCCCTTGTCTATTATGGATGGAGAAAGGTTGGAGCCCCATGCTTATGCAAGTTAAGGAGTTACCTATCAGTATGAAACAGATGGCTTGTTTGTCCTATGTAGCACAGATTTATTTAGAGAGAGCTATAAAGATGGGAGATCAAAGGAAATTAGATGGTGAAAGGTAACTGCTAAAGGAAAAATTTCCATTTTTGAAAGGAAATATGCACTGCTGATTGCTAAAAATATGGTGTGGCCCATCTGGGATCAGAGGGGCATTACCTTAGATCTGGGAGATCTAGTTTACTTGCCTGTGATTGGAATTTCTTTTTTCTAGGCTGACTTTCTGAAAGGATTGCCAGTTTATAACAAAAGCAACTTCAGCCGATTCCATGCAGATTCTGTATGCAAAGCATCGGTAAGTATCTTTGTCCCTTTGGTTGTAAATTCATGAGAGTGGCATTCATAGCTGGCCAAAAGTTTTATGGCAATGCTGTAGGGTCCCTAGCTTAATCCCTTTTCGTTCTTTCTTGCAAAAAACCAACAGTTGATTCCAAAATGTGGGCATTTTCTTGATTCTTGGGGCTGGAGGTTTCCTGCAGATCAAGGATTATTTATATATTTAATTGATTAATATAGGTACCTATCTTGCAATAGTGACTCTGAGTGGCCAAACCAGGGTAAGAAAAACTCAATACAAATAAACAAGGTAATAAAAAACAGATAATGGCAATTGAGGACAACATGAATCAATAAATGCACATCAGTCTCAGAGACTTAATTATCCATGCCCATGTTTATACCCTGCATTATTTTTGTTAATGTATGCTGGCTAATCCTCGTCTTGAGTAGAGTTAGTAGTAGATGCTGATAGCAGAAAAATCTCTGAAAGATTTAATTTCGCAGATCTAATTCTATATGTGTTACAGGAAAGTGAAGAAAGGTGTATTAATAGCTGGTTACCTTTCGTTCCTTTTTCTAAATACTTTAAAAAAAATCCCACATGATAGGTTGTTACAATAAGAAAGAATTTGGTGATATTTTAAAGGATTAACTTATTTTTAAACTGTCATAGCTATAATCTTTTTGATAGTGGCTCCTTTTTCTTTCTGTGTGTTCATATAATTCATCTATTTTTGTAAATTCTGAATCTATATCAGTCTCATATTGCAATACATTAAAAAGAAAGAAAAACTCCCAAAAGAAAATATTAGTAAATTAATTACAACTGTTAGTCCTTGTTTAGCCACTGCCTTGTTTAGCAGTTGTTCACAGTCACAGTGGAGATGGAAAAGTAACTTTGTGACCAGTCCTCGCATTTTTGGCCTTTGCAGGTCTATAAAGCAAAAAAAAAAAGCTGAGAATAGGTGCAGGTTTGTGGTTTTATTTAGTGACCACTTTGCTTAAAGACCGAGTTGCCGGTTCCCATTGTTGCTAAATGAAGGCTACTTGTAATAGAACTTGGATAAAGGGTATTTCAGAGGGGCGGCATGATAGCTCAGCAGTTAAAGATGCTGACTTTGTCAGCTGGAAAGCTGACAGCAGGGATTTGAGACCCGCGCGACACGCAAAGGAGTGAGCTATTGTTACTTATCCCAGCTCCTGCACACATAGCAGTTCAAAAGCATGCAAGCAGATCAATAGGTACCATTTTGATGGGAAAGTAACAGCATTCTGTGTGCTTCAGTATATAGTCATGCTGGCCACACGACCACTGAAGTGTCTTTGGACAATGTTGGCTCCCTTAGCTAAGAAACAGAGGTGAGAATTGCCGTTTTACAGTCAGAAATGACTAGAAAGGGGAAACCGTTAGCTAAAATGTGTTTCATACTTCTAGATAACAGGTGAATGGAAGTAGAACTTTTGATGGAGTTGATCAGGGGAGTAGCAGAAGAAAACTGTACTTGACACAGGCTAAAATCTTGAATTTCTATCAATCTGGAATTTTCCATCCAGGTACAATGGGTCAGAACACTTTCCAGTAGAAAGATACTGTTAAATATTTTAAGCAATTTGTCACTGTCCAACAGTCTGCTTCAAACGTGTTTAAAGAAAAAGAAAAATGTGAGAAAGAAAAGGAAGAAAATAAGGTAGTCCTCAGTGCACTACAAGTAAGCCCCAAATTTCCATTGCTAAGCAAGACAGTTGTTAAGTGAGTTTTGCCTCCTATTATGAATTTTCTTGCCACAGTTGTTAAGTGAAACGTTGCAGTTGTTAAATTAAGTGAATTTGGCTTCTCCATTGACTTTGCTTGTCAGAATGTCACAAAAGGGGATCACATGATCCCAGGACATTGCAACCGTCATAAGTACATGCCAGTTGCCAAGTGTCCGAATTGTGATCACGTGACTGTGGGGATGCTGCAGTGGTCATAAGTGTGAAAAACAATCATAACTTTTTTAGTGCCACTGGAACTTCGAACATTCACTACAGGAATGGTTGTAAGTGGAGGATTATCTGTATATGTAACAAAACAAATGAATGCTTTTGTTATATGGAACAAAACTATTGAATGCCTTTCTTCAACAGTCAGGCCAGGTCTTACTTTAACTATCTAGAAGAGGGGTATGCAACCTTGACAACTTTTAAGACTTGTGGACTTCAGCTCCCAGAATTCCTCAGCCAGAATTCTGGGAGCTGAAGTCCATAAGTCTTAAAGTTGTCAAGGTTGCAGATCCCTGATCTAGAACAGTGATGGCAGACTTTTGGGGGTTGGTATGTCAAAAATTCAGGAAATACCTAACTTGACTCTGCTGGTGTGCTGCACACACACACACACCCCACCCTGAAGAAAAGAGAAATAATTCTCTACATATTCATTTATTTAGCAAAAAATACAGTCCTGTCGTGTGTGGTCCCCAGGAATTAGCCTTACTTTCTAGATGGTGTTCCCTTTGCCCCTGCGGCTTACTCAACTCCAGATTGCACAAGACCTTTGTTTTTGAAGCGGCTTTAGAAAAATGTTCTTCCAGGTCCTGTGCAGCCTGTGAAAATTGTGCGAAAGTACACCCCATTCTCACGTAATTTTTGGAGGCGGCACAAGAACACGGTCCTCTTATGTGACTTCTGGAGGGTTTGAAAGCCACAAGAGAGCACAACCTATTCTTGTGCAGCCTTCGAAAATCGCTTGAGAATGGGGCCTGCTTTTGAGAATAGTTGTCGGGTGTTTAGTGCATGTTGGTGTGTCACCAAAAACATTGTGGCAATGTCACCTTTGATATGTATATCGTAGGTTTGCCATCGCTGATCTAGAAGCAGAGTCTGTTTAACTTCCATAGTTGTCCAATGCTGTTGAGAGACTGTGGTGGTGATTAAGGTATTGGATTAGAAACAGGGAACCCAGATTTTTGTTCATTCTTAGTGATGGAAGCCCACTAAGTAACTGAGTCAGTCATTTTCTTAAGCTAGCAGGGACAGGGAGGACAGTGGTATATACCTTGCCTTTTGCTCTCTTGTATGAGAAGTGGGATATACATCTAATAAATACATTAAACGGTCAACCTATACTTATTTGGGAGCAAAGGAATAGCTTTCTGAATCTAACTGGGACCTGACAGATTCTGCACCCTTTGGAGAATTCCAGCAAATAATAAGCATTAAGTCAGCTTTCATTAGGACATGATGTCGGATGATCTGTTTGGAAAGTTATCTTTTTCTTATTTTATAAAAAAATATTCAATTACAATTGCAGTTTAAATGCTTAACAATAAGGGGACTGAACAGCCTCTTACACACAACATAACTTTTTATTTTTTTAAAAAAAAATTATTTACAGAACAGAAGACCTTCAGTTTATCTTCCAACACGGGAATATCCATCAGAACAGAGTAAGTCCCTATTCCTGCTTTTGTTATTCCTGCCCACTGTCCATGGAAACTTGTTACTGTATATGTATAAAGGAAATTTGTGTATTTTATATGTCTAAACAATTAAAAATATAGGTAACTTGTACCTTTTTATACAGAGTCAGATCAAAACTTCAGTTTTTAATCCAGAACTCTTCTGAAATAGTTGATTCTTCTTTCAACCTTATAGTTATGTTGAAACATAGATAGTTCATTACAATCTATTATTTAGCAGTATGAGATAGATTTGGATTGCATATAGAAGCGTTATTTTACTATTTCTTTGCTAGAAATACGTTTATATGATCTTTATGAAATTGGATATGCTAAATATGCATAAATATGGAAAAACTTTCTGTAAAAGACAGAAAATGCATAAAATAGGCAGTTGACACCAACCATCTTAATTGGGTTAAAATTATGGGATAGAATTAGGATTATTTCAACCTTGTGCAGCCTTACATGAACAAGATATAAGAAATTCAAGGATGTGTCATCAGTACCTGCTGTCAATTCTTTGTATATCTTCTAAGTTAAATCATCCATATCTATATCTATATAGCCGTGGTGGGCCAGTGATTAGAATGCAGTATTGCAGGCTAATTCTGCTGACTGCCAGGAGTTTGATTCTCACCAGCTCAAGGTTGACTCAACCTTCCATCTTTCCGCGGTCAGTAAAATGACCAGATTGTTGGAGGCAATATGCTGACTTTGTAAACTGCTTAGAGAGGGCTGTAAAGCACTGTGAAGCAGTATAAAAGTCTAAGTGCTATTGCTATATACTACTGAAACTCTTGCGTCTGTAACCTTTAACCGGGCAAAACAGTGCATCACTGAGCAACCATTTTTGAACAAAGGCCTCTCAACTAGGTTACCTTATAGAATGTGTCCCAAATCCAGGAACTGTGACTTGTGTGGGATTGAAATTTGGCAAATTTGTGGTCGCTTCAATACTGCTGTGATGCCATGCAACCATCCAAAGCTTTTGTAGCAATAGCAACAGCACTTAAACTTAGATACCGCTTCACAGTGCTTTTACAGCCCTCTTTAAGTAGTTTACAGAGTCAGCATCTTGCCCGCAACAATCTGGGTCCTCTTACCGACCGCGGAATGATGGAAGGCTGAATCAACCTTGAGCTGGTGAGGATCGAACCCCTGGCAGTCACCAGAATTAGCCTGCAATACTGCAGTCCTCATTTTACTGACCTTGGAAGGATGGAAGGCTGAATCAACCTCGAGCCGGTCAGGATTGAACTCCTGGCTGTGGGCAAAGTCAGCCTGCAACACAGCATTGTAACCACTGCGCCATCACAGCGCAGTCCCCCCAGTCTGCTGGAGTCTGAGTAGATCAGTCCACTATTGGTTGCCAGAAGTTGGTCAGCTACATCAAGCCTCCAGGATGTTAATCTCTTTTTCTGTTTCTGAAATGATGACCCAACTGGTCACGGGTTGTTTAGTCTTCTTATAAATTAGTCCAGAGTTTTCAAGCTACATCACTTAAGCTGGGGTATGTCAAAGGACTGCAGCAAGAGGACCATATCAAAAAATGGGTGCACTGTCAGTTTTAAAATATTACATTGTATTTTAGAATGCACAGATCAGTTGATTTTTATTTAACAGTGTGACTCAATGTGGGGGCTGGATGCAGCTCCTGGGCTAGTAGAGATGAGTAAGATGGACCTTAGGGGTCCTGGAGCCTATTTGTCATTAAGTCTTGCATGAGTATTTTTTTATTGATCCTCATGATTTATTTTTTAAAACACCAGCATTCTCTTATTCAATTTTCTAATGCTACCCCCCGCCCTGAGTTGCTCCAGCAAAATATTATTTCATTGATAGTATTGAAATTTGCCAAAATATCAAGATGGATGTCCAGCATGACTGACTTTCTCACAGCACAAAATCACTAGACTGGGCATGGCCATTTTAGCCAACCTCCTCAAGCCTAGTACTATAATTCACATTAAAGCAAAACAAATGGCTGCTGAGCCTAAGAGAAACTTGGCAGTTCTATTAATAATGAATAGAATAGAATAGAATAGAATAGAATAGAATAGAATAGAATATTTGGAAGAGACCTTGGAGGTCTTCTAGTCCAGTGGTTCTCAACCTTTTTAATGCCGCGACCCCCAACTGGTCGTAAGTCGAGGACTAAACCGGTCGTAAGTTGAGGACTAAACCGGTCGTACGTCAAGGACTACCCAACCGGTCGTAAGTCGAGGACGTTCCCTGCCCGGGAGTGCCACGCATGCGTGGTTCCGCCCCCTGCGCTGGCCGAGGCGTAGCTGGCAAGCGGCAGAGACGGAGCAGGCCGACCACCAGCTGGCCCAGCTCAAGGGAGGTAAGGCACCCGCCAGAAAAGGGGGGGAAAATGGCGGACAGCCTTGCTTGGTGACCCCTGTGAAATGGTCGATCGACCCCAAATGGGGTCACGACCCATAGGTTGAGAACCGCTGTTCTAGTCCAACCCCCTGCTCAGACAGGAAACCCTATACCAGTGATGGCAAACCTTTTAGAGACCGAGTGCCCAAACCGCAACCCCAAACCCACTTATTTATCGCAAAGTGCCAGGGCCGCATCAGCATTGTGGTGCCCTCATGGGGGGGGGCAGGGAGGTGCCTCTTAGTGCCGCCTCTGGCACGCAAAAATGGGCCACCGTGCTGCAAGGCACAAAAATGGCCATGCCGTGGGGTGCAAATACAAGACGCTGCACTATGCAAAAACGGGGCAGGGCTAGTGAGTATCACGCAGGCACTAGCCTCGCCCCATTTGCAGTACGTGTGTGCTCGCGGCCCCGTGCACGCATGCAAAATGCTTCCCCCTCCCTTTTCTTCCAGTCCACCAATCAACAATGGTTGGTGACCTCTGCTCTACCACCTCTACTCGAGCTTGCTAGTTGGCCGCTTCACCTGCTTTGTGCTGGGCGGGGCTCCTGCTCCGGGCGGCAGTGATGGCCTGAGGCACCTGCTGCTGGTGGTGCGTGCCAACAGAGAGGGCTCTGAGTGCCGCCTCTGGCACGCATGCCATAGGTTCGCTACCACTGCCCTATACCATTTCAGACAAATGGCTGTCCAGTCTCTTCTTAAAAACTTCCAGTGTTGGAGCATTCACCGCTTCTGGAGGCAGGTTGTTCCACCGGTTAATTGTTCTAACTGTCAGGAAGTTTCTCCTTAGTTCTAGGTTGCTTCTCTCCTTGATTAGTTTCCATCCGTTGCTTCTCGTCCTGCCTTCAGGCGCTTTGGAGAATAGCTTGACTCCCTCTTCTTTGTGGCAGCCCCTGAGATATTGGAACACTGCTATCCTGTCGCCCCTAGTCCTTCTTTTCACTAGGCTAACAAGGTCTGTCACCAAAATGGCAACATAACTTGTCATAGAAACTTGTGGATAAGCCAAGAGTTTTAGCTGCTAAAATACATCCCCAAAATTGGCTTCGGCTTATGTTTTAGCCACCAGGCCCCTGATCATTTTTGTTGCTCTTCTCTGCACTCTTTCTAGAGTCTCAACATCTTTTTTTACATCGTGGTGATGTTTAGTTTAGTTGGTAAACTCTTATTTGTAGAAAATATTTTCTAAAAATGTTTCTGTGATTTACAGCCATTATTCCTTGACTTCTTTTTCTTCCCCTTTGGGGTGATAAAAACAGAACTGTGACACCTTCTCATTTACCTCTTCCATTTCTTTCTGAAGGTGAAATATAATAATTTCCTTCAGTCTCTTTTCATGAAACTTAATTTTCAGTTCCCTGATCATCCTTGTAACCCTTTTTTGATCCAGTTTGTCTGGATAGGGATGTGCAGGAAATGAAAAAAAAATGCTTTACTTCAAATCTGCACATTTAATCTTACTGTAGAACAGGGGTAGGCAACCTTGGCTCTTTTATGACTCGTGGACTTCAACTCCCAGAATTCCTGAGCCAGAATGGTTGGCTCAGGAATTCTGGGAGTTGAAGTCCACAAATCAGAAAAGAGCCAAGGTTGCCGACCTCTGCTGTAGAAGTTTGGCCGAAGCATTTAGGATCAACTTCAGTTATCCAAAGTAAAACCTGCAGGCATTTTGGAAGTAGTTTTACAGGATGAGTACAGCTGGATTGGTGCTCCCCATTTGTTTTCCCAAGTGTCCATGTGCTGTTCACCTGCCTCCCCCCAATTTTATCTCAACTGTCACCTCTGATTTGATACATAATTATAGCACCGTTTTTATAACTTGCCTAACTGAAAAGATTTTGAGCGGGTTGCAATAAGTTAAAATTATTAAAATATCAATTAAGAAGCAACAATAACAATAGAGTAGATCACTCATCAGTTTCCCCCCCCCCAGCCTTTTCTATCCCTTTCCTCCTCCTCCTCCTCATCTGCCACCTATATCTGCATTAACTCTGTTACCAAGGAAAATTCTTAAGCATGGCTTTCCTCTTATTTGTTTATAAAATGTATAGGCCGCCCATCTTACCTCAAGGTAATTCTGGGCAGTTTACAATCATAAAAGATAAAAAAAAACCTACATAAACTAAAAACATAGATAAGCTAATACAAAAGCCAAACACTGCGGTCCAATTAGAAGATGGGGGGGGCAGAGCAGGATGGCAAGGGAAGTGGAATCTGTTGCTAATCAATCAACCACCTCCACTGTGACCCTCTCCCATTGGAGCTCCAAGCCAACCAGCACAGCCATGGCTTTTAGGCTATTATGGCAGGTCGGGAGGGTTGAAGCTGACCTCACTCTTGGGGGCAAGATGCTCCACAGGGCAGGTGCGACAGCAGAGAAGGCTCTTCTGGACCCCGCAAGCTGGAATAATTAGGCTGATGGCCCCCACAGCATACTTCTTGCTCTTAGTAACCCATTCACTGCAGCACTTCTGCCCAGCACAACTGCATTGTTAGTCTACATTTGCAAGATATAAAGACTGAAGTGTCTAAACCAGTGATGGCGAACCTTTTAGAGACCGAGTGCCCAAAAACTGGCCCCGGCCCCGCTCCACCTCTCTGCTCTGCCCCGCTCTGCTCCTCCATCCCCCGCCCCGCCCGCCCAGAAGACCACTCACCGCCTCCAGGGCCCGCCGCACATCGCCCAGGCAGCCCAGCAGCGCTATGGCGGCCACACCCTCTGCCCGCGTCCTGCAGCATCAACTGCATGATGGGGCGTGAGGGCAGAGTCTTGTCTACGCTGCCTGGCTGCCATGTCCTTGGCTGCGCTGCTCCATGTGGGCCGTGCTTGAGGGCGACTCTCCTTCAGGGGAGCTGCTGGAGAAAAGGGGGTCGCGGGGGGAGGCGAGGCTGGGGCAACGACACGTGTGCCCACAGAGAGGGCTCCGAGTGCCGCCTCTGGCACCCGTGCCATAGGTTCGCCACCACTGGTCTAAACACTCGTGGCATGAGCCATTCATAACTAGCTACTTCATGCGCAAATCATTTTGACGATCCTTACTATTTATTTTTTAGAAGCCATATATGTGGTCAGTAAGGCAGAGGTCTCCAACCTTGGCAAGTTTAAGACTTGTGGATTTCAACTCTCAGAATTCCCCCGCCAGCTATGCTGGCTGAGGAATTCTGGGACTTGAAGTCCACAAGTTTTAAAGTTGCCAAGATTGGAGACCCCCTGCTGTAAGGCGCTCGGTGCCGTTCTGCTGCCACAAATCACATCTCCAAAGGTGCCTGGGATTAAGTGGCCACCATCTTCTCCAAGCCCTGACTCCAAAAATAGCAAGTGATTGTTGTTGAGTAAGTTGAGGCAGTGCTCTAGTGCGAAAGGTACATTCTGCATCTTGAAACTCGTAGGCACAGATTATATTCTTTGAGGCTTTTGTGTACAGGGTGAGACATCATCTGAAAATGTCTCTCAGTCCTTCAAAGTAGACTAGGTCAGGAAATAGACACCACGAGAAATACTGGTTTGTATGTATGTGTCTCAACCATGTTGATGTAGGCTATGATAATAGAAACGCAGCTGGTCCGAGAACAGTGGATAATTTTGATTTCAGTTGATTGTTCACTGTCAGTTACGGATAATAAAAGAGCTAGTTTGGTCTAGTGGTTAATACACCAAGCTAGAAACCGAGAAATTGTGAGTTTTAGTCTCGCCTTAGGCACAAAACAGCTGGGTGACCTTGGGCCAGTCATGACTCTCAGCCCTAAGAAGCAGACAATGGCAAACCGCTTCTGAAATCTTGCTAAGAAAACCCAAGGGATTTATCTAGGGCAGTCATCAGGAGTCAAGACTGATTCACACATATAGACACAAATGCTTGCCAGTGTTTTTCCTTCCCTCTCTCTTATGCCCAAGAGAGTGAGCCAATTTTGAATTTCTTTCTTGCCTCTCCTTGTCTTTTTGAGTAAGCTTATATTTTTCTAATAGCTGCCATGTACTTTCTTCAAGACTATCTCTGTACAGCTCCCCAGAGGCCTTATGTGGATAAGAGAATGATCTGGACGTTTCCACGAGCCATGCAGCAAATACAGTATGAAGATCATAGTGCTTTTTTGTCCTCAGAGTACCTTATAAACCAGATTCCAGTTTAAATTTCACTGTGAAGGTCTATTTTTCAAACTCTGCTGAGCAATTGCTTTATGCAGTGGAGGCAGAAAGAACTGTTTTGAAGCCATAATCGTACATGTGCCGTTGCACATCTTGGGTTCTATTTAGAGTGAGCATTATACCTTCTCTGCTCTTAACTCTTCTCCTGCCCTCTTTTGAAGCTTGTTCTTGAGTAAACCTGGAAGCAGGCTGCATCTACAACACACAAGAGCACTCTTGAGAATGGCATCCCATCCTATCATCCTAAGGTGGTATGATGGGATGCTCTGAGGCAAGGGTTCCCAACCCCCGGTCCATGGACTGGTACCAGGCCGTGGCATGCCAGCAACCAGTACCGGTCCATGGACCGGGGGTTGGGGACCCCTCCCTCAGAGCATCCCATCCTATCACCTTAGGATGATAGGATGGGATGCAACCGGTCCACACAAACAAGCAAAGCCCCATCCGTGGGATGCAGGCAGCACACAAAACCACACACACACCATCTGGTCCGTGGCAAAACCTCTCTCCATGGAACCTGTCCCTGATGCCCAAAAGGTGGGGCCTCTGCTCTGAGGGGAATCCAGGTAGTCCTCAACTTACAACAGTTCATTTAGTAACCGTTCAGTTACAACAGTACTGAAAAAAAGTGACTTATGACCGTTTTTCACACTTAATGACCGTTGCAGCATCCTCATGGTCACATGATCAAAATTCAGATGTTTGGCAACTGACTCGTGTTTATGATGGCTGCACTATGCCTGGGGTCACGTGATCCCCTTTGGCGACCCCCTGACAAGCAAAGTCAGCGAGGGAACAACTGTGGCAAGAAAAGTCATAAAATGGATCCTGGCACACTGCAACTGTTGTAAATACATGCCCGTTGCCAAGCGCCTGAATTTTGATCATCTGACCCTGGGGATGCTGCAATGACCATAAATCACCTTTTTTCAGTGCCTTTGTAATTTTGAATGGCCACTCAATGAACAACTGTAAGTCCTGTATAGCCAAAGCCAGGGATCTTCAAACTTGGCCACTTTAAGACTTGTGGACTTCAACTCCCAGAATTCCCCAGCCAGCCAACTGGACTTCCCCAGTTGAAGTCCACAAGTCCTGGCTTTGACTATACAGGACTTTCAGCATGGCTGGCTGGGGAATTCTGGGAGTTGAAGTCCACAAGTCTTAAAGTGGCCAAGTTTGAGGACTCCTGGTCAAAGCATTCCAGTCCTGAAGTCATTTCTAATGTATGTGATATTACCTCAGAATTAGGTCGGGGTGGCCATTTTGGGGGTTGGGCCGTTTCTGGTATACTTGGATCGGTAATATATATCTTTCGGGACCAAATGGAGGCCAGCCAGATTCAGAAATTCTTGACGAATTCCAACAGGTGACAGGTTTTAGATAGCTTTCCTTAGGACTGGATGCCCTGAATCTAAATTGGGATTACTACTCTTAGAATTCCTAAGCAGCCCGGAAAGTTTGTGTTCGATTGTTCACAGGAAATGACTCGATAGTATATTTCCTTTCCACTCTTCTGAAAGAAGGAACAAGCTCCCTCTTTCTTGTGCCCAGCCTCAATCCATTGGGCAAAATGGCAAAGGGAGCAAAGATTCCTTCCCAGGCTCTGTAGAGAAGGCAGGAACGGGAGAAGTAAAATCCATCTGAAAAAGCCCTCCAAAATTGGATTATCTGAGCTCTCTTGCTTGGGAAGCCAGTACACATCTGCAATTGTTGTGCCTTAATGCCCTGTAGCTTCACTAAAGCTAAGAAAGAATAGCATCTGGAGCAAAAAATAGCAACACACGGTAGCCTTAAACTGGGCTTCAGCAACAGGGAGAGCTACAAGTGAGGGGAGGCGGCTGTGGTCCGTGGGAGTAGGTAGCAGGCAGTAGGTCAGGATTCTTGGTCATCTGATTCTCAGCTACCTTGAATGTCGAGCGGTGGTGTCAACACCCTTGCCTGAATTGTTTGGAAGTTTCCCCTCCTCCCCACGTGTCATGTGCAGATGCACAGGGTTATGGTATTATAATAGGCCAGATGTTGGGGACAAACAATAAGCAAGATATTTATTGTACGCCTTTGTCGATGGGTTTCTCGCCAAGACATCTGGTTGATAAACAACCAGTGGGATTAGACGCAGGGGTAGGCAACCTTGGCTCTTTTATGACTCGTGGACTTCAACTCTCAGAATTCCTGAGCCAGCCATGCTGAGGGGAAAGGGAGAGGTTTCCAAGCTGAGCCAGGCTGGCTCAGGAATTCTGGGAGTTGAAGTCCAAGAGTCATAAAAGAGCCAAGGTTGCCTACCCCTGCACTAGAGAGAAGGAGCTTTGGTTTAAACTAGGAGATTTATATTTTGCCTATTTTTTTGTAAAACTCAAAGGAGTGTATATAGTGCTGCTGCCTCCTGTTTCCTTCCTTCCTTCCTTCCTTCCTTCCTTCCTTCCTTCCTTCCCTCCCTCCCTCCCTCCCTCCCTCCCTCCTTTCCGCATAAGAACCACCCTGCAAGGTGGGTTGGACTGAGAGAATCACTGGCCCCAAATCACCCAAGCTGGCTTTCATGCTTAGGAGAGGACCAAACTCCTCGTTTCTAGGACAACCCTTTAACCCAGCGGTTCCCAACCTTTTCTATACCCCGCACCCCTAGAATGCTTCTGATATATTCTCGCACCCCTTACAAAAATTCAAAATAACGGCAACGGATTATGCATATAACACTATAATTTTGAAAGCCCAAGTTTTCGCACCCCCTAGAATATCGTCTCACACCTCTGGTTGGGAACCCCTGCCTTAACCACTATAACAAACCAGTTCTCATTGTAACATTGGGCACTAAATGAATGGTTGTTAAGTTGAGGACTACCTGTAGTTTCATTATTTAGTCCTGAATAAGGCTAAAGGCCTCCTACTCCTGATGGAACCAGTTGTTCTGTAGCCAGAATTGCACCTTCCCTGATTTATACAAGCCACTTAAGATCCTGTGGAAATCATTTTCTTTTGGCTGGAGATACGATCTCCAGGGATCAAACCTGTGACTTTCTGCATGTGAAATGTGAGCTGTCCCCGCTGAGTGACAGCTCCTCTCTGCGTTTGGTTTAAGCTCTCTGTCTCCAAGCAGGCAGCCTCCCTCTCCCATAACCCTGCAGTCAGCAAAATCCAGAACCCTGCAGTGCTTTCTTGTGGATTTGTTTCATTCTGTACTGATCAGTTTTTTTCCTTGCCTTTCTTCAACAGTAATTGTCACAGAAAAGACAAATATACTCTTGCGTTACCTACATCAGCAGTGGGACAAAAAGGTAGGGGTTTTGTGAAAATTGTTGCCAAGTACCATTGTGTGTGTGTGTGTGTGTGTGTGTGTGTGAGAAACAGTATAGGGAGGACAGCGGATTAAAAACAACTTATAGATCCATAACTCTAGTGCAGTGATGGTGAACCTTTTAGAGACCGAGTGCCCAAACTGCAACCCAAAACCCACTTATTTGTCACTGGGTGCCAGGTGGGTGTGGCCCACTGGGTGGGCGTGACTGTGGTGGTCATGGCAGACTGGGTGGGTGTGGCCAAGGTGGGCATGATCACCTCGATGTTGCTCACGGGGAGGGACGCATGTGGGGGCAGGGTTGGGGGCGATCCAGGGGGTCTCTGGCAGGTGGGGCGGTGGGCAGGAGGCTTGTCCTGTGGGGTGAGGCGAGGCAGGGCGGGAGTGCCATTGTCACAGGGCAAGGTGAGGCAGGGGCCGGGGCGACTGCTGCCTGACACCATTGGCCCCCCCACACAGAGGCCAGTGAGCGCATGGGTGCTGGGATACATCAGGCCATGTGGGACCTCGGCGAGTTAGCGGGCGGCTGGCTGAGGAGGGACGGTTGCCATCTCCGGGGCATGCCGCGCGTGCCCACAGAGAGGGCTCTGAGTGCCGCCTCTGGCACGCGTGCCATAGGATCGCCACCACTGCTCTAGTGGAATCTCACTTGGGATAGATCAGGGGTAGGCAACCTTGGCTCTTTTATGACTCGTGGACTTCAATTCCCAGAATTCCTGAGCCAGCATAGTCCACGAGTCATAAAAGAGCCGAGGTTGCCTACCCCTGGGATAGATAATAAGCGGCTTCTGGCAGTACCACTTTTTGCTTGCTTGTTTGCCCTGTTAGAAGTCTGCTGGAAGCAAAATTGGTATCTGATGTTTGCTTTGGGAGAGAATCCAACTTCAAAAAACCCCGAGAAAAGACTTGGGGACTTGAAGCAAGAGGGAGTCAAGCAAATCTAATTTTTCTTGTCTTTTTTTCTCCCCCCCCCCCCTCCTGTTAGAATGCAGCAAAGAAAAGAGATCCTGAGCAAGTGGAAATAGAAGGTGAAAACTCTGCCCCACCTCGCAAAATTGCCCGGACAGACAGCCAAGATATGAATGAGGACACTTAAAATTCTCTCCAGTCTTCTGTGTTAAAATTTACAGGCGCTTCCTGTGTGGGTTTTATTTTTTTTCTGTGTGTCTTTTAGTGTGTACACAGGCACGCACATGTACATACACACACATGCACACTTCCGTCAGCCCTCTGCCTTCTTCCCTGTCTCTTCCTCCCGCCCTCCATCATGCAGCCTATCCCGTTTCTGACTTTGTAGAAGCCAATTGTATTTATTTTTGGGGTGGGGGGGGAGGTTTCTTTTTCCATTTTTGTTTTGTATTATTTATGCGTGCGCTCGCTCGCGCTCTCATGTTCAGAGTCAGAAAATAATGATGTTTAATCTGTGATCAGTGCTTTTTTTAAAAAAAAAATGAAAAAAAATTCCACTTTTGTGGCTACCCCTTCTTTTTGAAAAATGAGCTGACCTCTCGAGAGAGAGCTCAGTTCATGCTGACGGCACCCCCTCCCCATTGTGTCCTCTGTTCATATTATTGAGAATTTCCATCTCACAATTACTGTACAACTACCCAGTGTGTGTCATGACTTACATTTGTTTCGATAACAGGAGGAACTCGCAAGGGGTGGGTGGGCTTTCTTCTTACCCATCCTTCTCCAGGTGTGTTCCTACTTGCATACCATTTTCTGTTCTCCAGCAACGGTGGGGGGGATCAGGTTGTTTGCGGTGGTCTCTCTGCACCTGATGATCTCTGGCGAAGATTGTACCCAGTTTGCTGGCAAATGTTGTGTTATCATGTTACCTTCTTTGGCCTGCCTCCTCCTCCTCCCCCACCCCACCCTCTGGCTCCCCCTCACCCCAGGAAACTCATTAGCACATCGGTCATAGATTGCAAGCAAAAACCCACTTGGGCTTGCCCGGCATCTCTTTTGCACCACTCTTTGGATGGACCAGTTCTGTGCAACTTTTCAAGTAGAATAAAGCGGGATATTTCTCATCACTTTGGACGAGTTCTTGTTTTTTAAAAAAAACAACTCTATTAGAAACTCCAGGGCAAGGGTGAGCAACATCCGCCCTCTAGAGCTGCCTGCAGTTCTGAGATTAGTTGCAAACCCCTTGTGCAAGAAATCAGCTCCCTGGTAAAGGGGTCAGTGTCCTGTCCTCCAGCCAGCTGCTTGAAAGAGAGAGGTGTGTGTGTTAAGAGTACATGCATCTGTTGGATGTTGGATTTCAAGATCAGCCTCCAAGTGTTGATTTTGAAAATGATTGAAATCTGATTTGAAGTTGGAAACACTCTTGGTAAGAGTGGTATAGTGCAGACTACTCATTCTAAGGTTGGAATGTCTTTAAGGTCAAAATAATTATAAATAATTCTGCACGCTTCTAGTCCCCACTTTTTTAAATAGCTCTGGACCCAACCACTCCTTCATCCTGTTCCATGGCCCACAACAGTTTTTATCCAGAGGGAACATAGATTTGAAAGCAGAACGGTTTCCTACCCCACTTTTGTGCAATGAGGTGCTTTAACATTTTAAGCCAAGGTGGCATGAGATGCCTTATTCTAAGTAATTGTCTATTGGGCTACAGTCACCTCTTCTGATTGGCAGCCTCTCGCTATGGTCGCCTGTCCTTAAGTCAGCTGGGAACCTAACAAATGAAGAAAACTGTTCTGATTTCTCAGGCAAATGAAATAGTGACTGGCTATTTTCAGTAACTGACATGCTGCTACAGAAGTGATTCTCTGCCAATATCCTTTGGCTGTTTTAGCAAGCAAGCTGTGTGACCACACCCTTGGTCTTTTTGCAGCAACATCACGCCTGGGCATCAAAGCAGATTGACTTAGTTTAGGGACAATTATATATATATATATATAAAAAAGTGAGGAATGTATGTATGATGAATGTGTGGATTTGGTGAATTAGCTATAATGGCTTATTCACATAAGGCAGAGGTGGGGAACTATGGCCCTTTTATGACTCGTGGACTTCAACTCCCAGAATTCGTAAGCCAGCCCTGGCTCAGGAACTCTGGGAGTCGAAGTCCACGAGTCATAAAAGAGCCATAGTTCCCCACCCCCGACATAAGCTGTCACAGGATGGTGTGGATGTGATTGGTGTCTGAGTTGGCATGAGGCCTGTGGGCTATCTCTTATTTAGGCATTTTCCTGTAGCGGTTAAGGTGCTGGGAAGCTGAGTTCTAATCCCACCTTAGGCATGGGTGACTTTTGGCCAGTCAGTCTCAGATCAATTCACCTCACTGGGTCGTTGTGGGAAAATTGAAGAAAGGTAATTGTATGTTAGCCACCTTATAAAATAATAATGGTGGGATTTAAAAAAATCAAATTGCACCCAGGACTCCGAGCTCTGGTATGTTTTAGCTCTGTTTAAAAATGCATCCTTTTTATGTCGCCCTTTCTCAACAGCTGAAACTCCCTAATTCTTTTAATAGACGTTTTTCACCTTATAATTTTTTTGGGTGTGATAGTTGTAATCGCTGCTAGGTTTTTACAGTGAAAAGCAGCAATTGTTCTCATTGCCAAGTAATAAATTAGCATCATCTTTAATACAGATTGGGGAGGGGGGGGGGAATTCCTAATGAGCCTAGTTCCCATCGTGCACCAAGTCAAATGATGATGTATTTTGATGAATTCTGCAAACTATATTGATGCATTTCAAATTATGCATGTGCAATACTTTGTAATCTAGGAAAAATAATTTGGTTTTAGTGGATTCTGTCCCACTGGAAACTACTCTATTTCTAAATTCTAAATGTAGAAGTAAAAGTAATCTTTTTTACTTAATTTAATTTGATTGGAATTTTATATGTATAAGGACTTCACGTGGTCTGAAAACTCAAGCTGTGCCTTTCTAATATATGGTCAATACGTCAACTTTGTCAGTTATGGCAATATGTGACTGTGGAACTGGAACCCTAGCCTGCCTGATTCATAGCTGTAAGATTACATAGTGTAAAGTCAACAGGAACCTAGTTTCAAATTACAGAGAGAGAACATCAGATTTGGGGTGGCGGGGCAACTCATGACTTCGTTTTCTTGTTTGGTTGTTGTGCATTAATTTAACCTTGCCATAATAGGAGTGGTTTGGTTTTGACTCAACAAAATACATGAACCAGGTTGCTATAGCTGTGTAGACTAATGAAAGGAAAGGGGGGTCAGCTAAACCCAGGTGTCTGTTAAATAGGAATGGAGTTTACGTAGAGTGAACCCAAATGAATGAATAAAGACATGAAGAGTCAGTTTCGGGGCACATAATTCTGGAAGATTTGTCTGTGTGGTTGCTAAAAGTCAACACTTGAGTTTGATAGAACATAATCAAAATGGTGAATCGATTTGTGTCTGTTGCTCCCAAAATCTGACAAATCTCTGATACTGAAGATAGGATTGCTGGATTAGGGCTGTAAACACAGATAACCAGTAGATGATAGCAAAAAAAAATTTTGCAGTTGAAACCTAGAATCTGGCCATATTTTAACAAAATGATCCACGGTGTTACCTCTAGGATCGTCCGTGTACACCTCAACCACTTTTCACAGAACCCATAAAATTCTATGGGTCATCGGACAATTTTTAGGAAACCCTTTAATTAAGGAAATGAACGACAGGCTTGCAAAGTACCAGCTCCAGCAGAAAAGATGGGAAATTTCCTTTGCATGAAGGACTTGCATCCCTCATGTCAACCATTTTGTGAGCAGGCAGCCTCTTCCCCAAAGAGATTTTGTGAGAACACATGCCATATTCTCAAAGTTCAAAATGTACCCTAAAAAAGATCCCTTGCTTAGCCCAAGATATGAAGCCAGATTACTTTTAGCTGGATCAGAGTCACCAAAGGCTATTTTAAGCAGTTGCAAAGTATAACTCCAGTAACACGGAATTAACACATGGTTGTATTTCTAAAAGAGCCAGTTTGGTGCAGTGGCTAAGGACTCTAGGCTAAAAAAATGGGAGACTGTTGTAGTGCCATCTTAGGCACAAAGCGAACTGGGCAATCTTGGGCCCATCACTCTTCTCAGCCCTAAGAAGGAGACAATGGCAAATCACTTCCAAAAATCCTTGCCAAGAAAACTGCAAGGACTACTTCAGGCAGTCACTAGGACTCGGAAGGCACATGCATATGTATATAGATTCACATATATACACATTCTCATATTCTCTGCACACATATAATCAAATTAAACTTCAGGAAACTATTTTTAAAGCCTCCCTGAAGCCTTACTAATGTTAAGGCAGTGGTTGCTTTTACACACGGCACTTAAGCAGTAATGTGGCTTAAGTTTGGCACAGCATTTTTGGTGGACCAGCCAAAAGTGAGTGGCACTTGTAAAGTCACCATTAAATAACGCTCCATATAATAAATAAACCACATTTGATAGGTTTCAGATTAGCCATCCAGTGAGATGGGCCACATATAAATGAAATAAATGATCCCCTCAACCTTTTTATAATGTATCCTCTGTAGCAAAAGTTATCACACAAGGCCCTTGTGTAAAGAAATGCTGAAGAAGTTGCTGGTGTCAGCCCTGCCCTACCCCACTTTTATTCCTTTTGTTGAAATATAATTTTATTGCATTTCTGCCAAATTTACAAAAATATGACAAAAATAACTTAAAAAGAAATTGAGATTCTCCCACCCTCGTCTCCTTGCTCAAGTCAGAGAAATAAATTAGAATGCAGCAAATCAATCAATAAAAAAAACAATAGTCCCCTTTGCTTTCCTCCTGTTAAAAAAAACGAATCCTCTGGTACAGTTAATTACTCAGAAGAGTAAGACATGAAAGAGGCCAGTGCTCTTGTAGGTACTCTGAGATCAATATCTGGGTTGGGCCTGGGGTGCTGCAGAATTTGGGGGGGGGGGCACGAGAGGAGGAGGGGAAGGGAGCCTTCCTGCCCACCTCAAATCCCATCTGGCTTGGGAGGATTCTTGATGCCTTCAAATCGTGCCTTTTTGTGAATTGCCTCTGTTTGGCTAAGGTCTGCTTGGCTGGCATGGCAAAGCTTAATGAGCGCTGGGTCACTGGGAAAAACTGCATTCCGTGGTTAGGCAGTGAAGAAGCAGGAGAATGGATTGGTTATCCCGATGACATCTCGTACTCCAACCATTCAGCAGAATGAAAGTGGCCCATTTTAGCTAGGGAATGAGATGCAGGCAGGCAAGTCCACCAAGAGAAGAGGGCAATCCTTGGTGTCCCAGCTAAGAGCTGCGAGTGGGATTCTCTTCTGCCAACTTGATAGAAGAAGACAGAAAAGCTACGTTGAAAAACCCACACGGGTCCAGGACGGAGTCCAAGCCAGCATACCAGTCTTTCCTCTCATGGCTATTTCCTTGGCATCCAGCAATGGACTTGGTAGCGGCTAGCGTTGTGTTATTGCTCTTGCGAAACAGCTTGAAAGTGATGCCACCACAAAAAAAAGAGAGAGAGAGAGAGAGAGGAAGCTTTGAGCATCAAAGCCATGCAGGTCAGTCCCTTTTTTTGCATTCTGCGTGGGGTGAAAATACAGCTAGGCCAGTAGTTGGCTTCACCATCGGACAAAGGAGTGGTTTGGATGACAAGACATCAGAACTTGCTTATTGTTTTTCCCCCTTTCCCTTGGAGGATTTTAGTGGTCGGGAAATCCTCTGAGGGGTTTTTTTCGGGAGCAGGCCAGCACTTGCTGGAAATCCCTCTCCAACCTGATCACTGCAATGGCTTGTGGGGAGCAAATATATTAGCAAGTCAATTATGTATTGCGGGCGATGGCAAATTGCTCTGGAGAAGGATGGGGGTTGTGTATAGAAGATAAAGAGAAATCCCTTCCAGTTTAGAGTCACTTCTTTTCCGTCCTGCAAAGCGACCGACTCCTTTGGACTAGTAAAGAAAAGACAAAGCAGTTTTCCTTTAATTTGGGGAAGCTGACAAAACTGGAGATGCTGCCGTAGGTCTGTGTTGGGGGTGGGGGGTGGGGGGCAGAGGCCATGTCTGCTAACAAAACTACATTCAAAGATCCTGCAAAGCTGGAAACCAGGAGATACTGCTATTTTTCCGGCTACTACGGGTTCAATTGCTCTTTTTAAGAAAAGGAACAAAACAAGACACAGTAGGGTTTTTTTTTACAGTGATTTGCCTATTAAAAGCAGCTGCCAGATTAAAGGAGGATTTTTTTTCTCTCCCTTCCTATCCAGACCAGTTGTGAGAAATTTAGGCCACAGGGCAAAAGTACAAATACCGGTAGTCACTGCCTGATAAAAAAAGAAAAGTTCCACCCACCCCATTTCCAAAGTGGTAGAAAGTTCCTGAAGGTGATAACTATAGCTATTATCTCCTTGGGGACAAATTAATGGCAAAATTCCATTCTCTCTACTCTCCTCCTATTTATTCGAATATGAATTCTGGATTTTTTTTTATTTTTTTAGCTTAAACTCTTCCCCTCTCAACTCAGCAAGTGGATGCACCTAAATATTTAAAAAGCTAAGCAGTATTAACTTAATACAGTTAATACCGCTAAAGAAATGACCAGGAAATCCTTGGCGTACAGGCTGGACTCCGAATTTGAAAGAAGTATTCCAGAAGGAAGCAACAGCACCAGTCGCAAAGCCAACTGCGTGGATTTCTCAATGAAGTCATTAAAAATTAGCTCAATTTACAAGTAGTCCTTGACTTACGGCCGTTCATTTAACAACCGTTCAGAATTATGATGGCACTGGAAAAAAAAGTGGCTTACGACTAGCCATTGCACTTAGGACTGTTGTGGCATCCTCGCAGTCACTTGTGCACTTGGGAAGTGGCATGGACGATTTGCTTGGTGACCATGGCAAAAGGTGATAAAATAGGGCTTGGCTCACTTAACGACCAGATTCATTTAGTGATGGAATTTCCAATCCCAATTGTGGTCGTAAGTTGAGGACTACCTGCATCTGCTTTCCCCATTAAGCGGCAAATTGAGAAAAATCCCCTTGGCACAGCCTGTCACAAGTCAAGGTCCTTATTGCCAGAAAATAATAATAAAAGTTCCTTCCAAATTAGATTTTATCCCCCATCCCTTTATTTCTTGATTTCTTTATTACTGAGTTTGTAGAAAGAAAATATGCGGTGGATCTTTGTTTCGAGAACTCTTAATAATAACTTGCCCCCGATTCTTTTTCTTTCTTTTTTTTGATCGACCGCGGCAGCTTTTGAATCGTGTCTCCGAAACGTGAAAGTCACCGTGGTGTTTTTTTTTGTTCAGTTTGAGTGCAAGAGATGTCAATCATGCATGGACAATGGTTCCAATCTTACCCCTCCCCTTCCAGTCTCCTCAGCCCCCTGGGCTTTGCTGCCAAGTGAGGCTATTCTTCAAGCAGAAAGGGGGGGTGTTGCGTGGGGACCATCTATGATTTAAATCAGGGGTAGGCAACCTTGGCTCTTTTATGATTCGTGGACTTCAACTCCCAGAATTCCTGAGCCAGCCATGCTGAGGGGAAAGGGAGAGGTTTCCAAGCTGAGCCATGCTGGCTCAGGAATTCTGGGAGTTGAAGTCCACGAGTCATAAAAGAGCCAAGGTTGACTACCCCTGATTTAAATGGAAGGAGGGAAAAGCAATGCAAAGTTTCCTCCCATCAGATTCCAGTATTTGTGGCTCTTAGAAATATTTACACTTAGGGAAAGGCTGCACTAGCTATGGCTGAAATTCTACCTAATACCTGAAGGGGCTCTCGCTCAACAAAACTTCCAGAGGGAAAGTCAAAACACGCCAATGAAGATTAATGATGTTTTTCAAAAGGTTGTGACTTCTTAAACAAGAAATTGCACCAACTTTTTTGCAGTCTTGCCCGTCTGTGTTAAAGACAGAGAAGCACCTGGGAATGTGATCAGTTCTGAATGTGGGCTAAAATTTAGAAAATCCGTTTGAGCTAGGATGCTTTCCTGGCCCAAATAAGGGGAAAGACATGTAACACAACCTGTTTTCAAGGCTAGTGGAAGCGCCCTCTACCCTCTGCTTCGTATCCTTCACTTCTAACTTGCAGTTTGCTGTCCTTATTCTTGGGCGTTCTCAGTTTAAAATCTGACTTAGATCAGGAACCATCAAAAATCAGAACTGAGTCTCCAGGCCCAAACCTCCATCAAAACCTCTCTTGAGTCTCCATCAAAACCTCTCTGGAACCATCTTCAACTTTCTTTTTCTTTCTTTTTTTTCTTTCAAATGTAAATCTCAGCCAGGGTTACCCTGAAATTGCATGGAAAAGGGTTGACAGGCCCAGCAGACCTCTCCCAATTAAAGGCAAGAGGCTGCCCCAATTCTGCTTGAGGAACCAACTAGCAACCCCTGCTTTCCTTTCCACCCCTCCCCAGCTCTCACTCTCAACCAAGAGGTTAGAGTTTGTGGCTCGGCCCCTCCTCCTCCACCACCATTGTTCGGATCTCCAGGTCCTCAGACACCTCCTCATCTGCCAACCCGTTGAGATGTGATCTGCCGGCCAAAGGCTTTTCGCCTGCATCTGCCGAAGGGCCGGGCCGTGGCGGGGAGGATGCCCCATTGCCCCCTTCGGATTTGCTGAAGTTGAACAGTTTGCTGGGGTTGAAAGGCTTAGTGGGTGACTGCACCTTCTCAGTGTTGGCTTCCCGTTTTGTCTCTGGGGACTTAAGGAACTTGAAACTAAGGAAGCCAGGTAGTTTGTTATCAGTACTAGTGGGGGACTGGGGTGAACGGGCCGTCCCAGGGCCAGATGCCCCTGTGCTCCCTGATAAAAACTTGCCCTGTAGAGGGATGATCTGCTTGAGCTTCATAACGTTGTTGGTGGCCAGGAGGGAGCTGGGCCGTTTGGGTTTCTCGGATCCGTGGCTCGACCCTCCTGGACCCTTCCCTTTGGGCTGACTCTTCTCGTGTCCAGGATCCTGCCCGCCACCATTAGCCTTGCCTTCCTCCCGGCTGCTCTCACGTTCTTTCCGGGCGTGATATTCGGCGTGGCGCTGACGCTCCTCTTCCTCCCGTTTACGACGCTGCTGTTGCTGGAAGTGGTGCTGGGCCTGTCGCTCGTGTTTCTGGGGAGGATTAACGACAAAAGAATTAATGATTTATTGCAGCCTCCCACAGCTCCCCCTTTTCTTCCCTGAAGACTCTCTGACCTTTTTGACACCTGTTAAACTCACAGGCAGAGGGCTCTATCACCCTTATTTTTAATACAGGCAGTCCTCGATTTACGGCCACAATTGAGCCCAAAATTTATATTTGCTAAGCAAGATAGTGGTTAAGTGAGTTTTGCCCCATTTTTATGACCTTTCTTGCCACACTTGTGGCAATCACTGCAGTTGTTAAATTAGTAACGTGATTATTAAGTGAAGTTGGCTTCCCCATTGACTTTGCTTGTCACAAGGCCACAAAAACTGGTCACATAACCCGAGACATTGTAAACATCATATATATATTATATATATATATATATGAATGAATCAGTTGCCAAGGTCTGAATTTTGATCACATGACCGGGGGGATGCTACAACAGTTGTAAATGTAAAAAATGGTCATAAGTTACTTTTTCCAGTGCTTTTGTAACTTCAAAAACTCACTAAATGAACTGTTGTAAATCAAGGACTGCCTGTAATAAACTATCATTCCGAAAGACGATCGTTTGGGGCAGAGACACTTGCTCTAAAAAATAGCATGTGCCATCCCATAAGCCGCCATTGTGCTCCATACTTTGCTGCTTGAATTGTTTTTAAAGGTTACATTCCTACATCAAACATAATGATGGATATTTTGCAAATAAGTAAATGGAATTATCTGGGAGTGGGAGCAGCTACCTGCAAAATACCGCAGGGCTGGAAGAGATTCTTTTCATTTGTGACAACTGGGAGATAATATCCCTCTGCATCAAAAGGATCATAGAGGCCCTCCCTTAACTACTCATTGGTAAATGGAGGCTTTAGTACACATTTCCAGTTTCCAGGATTTTTTAAAATATGTATTTTGAGACTCTAGAAAGAGTACAGAGAAGAGCAACAAAGATGATTAGGGGACTGGAGGCTAAAGCATATAAGGAACGGTTGTTGAAATTGGGTATGTCTAGTTTAACGAAGAGAATGACGAGGGGGGACATGATAGCAGTGTTCCAATATCTCAGGGGCTGCCACAAAGAAGAGGGAGTCAAGCTATTCTCCAAAGCACCTGAAGGCAGGAAAAGAAGCAATGGATGGAAATTAACCAAAGAGAGAAGCAACCTAGAACTAAGGATATTTTTTTCTGACAGCTAAAATAATTAATTAGTGGAACAACCTGCCTCCAGAAGCAGTGAATGCTCCAACACTGGAAGTTTTTAAGAAAGGACAGCCATTTGTCCGAAATGGTATAGGGTTACCTGCCTGAGCAGGGGGTTGGATTAGATGACCTCCAAGGTCCCTTCCAACTTTACTATTATTATTATTATTATTATTATTATTATTATTATTATTATTATTATTATTATTATTTTCCTTTCAATAAATCTAGATTCCTTTCCAAGAATCTAGCTTTTTATCATTATTATTTATTTTTTTGAATTTATTAGCTGCCCAACTCCAATGGATTCTGGCCAGCATACAGATAACCCCTTGACTTACAACAGTTCATTTAGTGACTGAAGTTATGATGATACTGGGGAAAAAATGACTTATGACCATTTCTCACACTTTACAACCGTTGCAGCAGCTCCGTGGACACATGATCAAAACTTAGAGGCTTGGCAACTGACTCATATTTATGACGGCTGCAGTGTCCTGGGGTCATGTGATCACCTTTTGTGACCTTCTGCCAAGCAAAGTCAATGGGGAAGCCAGATTCATTTAACAACCATGTTGCTAACTTAAGAACTGCAGTGTTTCACTTAACTGTGGCAAGAAAAGTTGTAAAACGGGGCAAAATTCACTTAACAAATATCTCACTTAGCAACAGGAACTTTGGGCTTGATTGTGGTTGTAGGTCAAGGACTACCTGTACTGAAAAACCGTAACAAAACAGCTTAAAAAAACTTAAAACCAAATGGCCAGCCCGAACTAAAATAATTTTACAGATGACAAAAAACAAACAGGGATCCCAGACAAACCCCAGACCTGGGATTAAAGCTAGGTTTTCAGAGAGATGGGGCAGCTCTTATTACTATGGGATGCTGTTCCAGAGGGTGGAGGTTTCTTGATTGGAAGTCACTGTTGCGGTGGGACAGCAACAATTTGCCCCAAATGCAGTATAAAAGCTCTAAAAAGCCGGGCTTAACCTATCCTTGTATGATAGGCTAGAATTAAGCTTGCAGGTACTCCTTGACTTATGACTGCAGCTGAACCCAAAATTTCTATTGCTAAGACAGTTTAGTGAGTTGTGCTCCACTTTGCAACTTTTTTGCTAAGCCAAATTAGCTAAGTTGCTAAGCCAATCATTGCAGCCTTACATGAATCATGGTTATTAAGCTTCCCCACCCTCCCACCCCTTGACTCTGTCAGAGGTCAGCTGGGAAGGTTACAAATGGTGATCACATGACCCTGGAACACTACAACTGTCATCAATACAACCTAAGTGTGTAAGTGTCAAAACTGGTCATGTCACTACTTTCAGTGCTGTTGTAACATGGAATGGCCACTAAATGAATGGTTGTAAATAGAGGACCACCTGTATTCAAAAAACAAAACCAAATCAAGAACTCAACGTTGTGCATCGCTCTTGTGAGACTCACCTTAAAGGCCTCTCGCCTCTGGTATTCAAGCTTGGCCATCTCTTCTGCAACCCAGGCCGGGATATCAGGAATTGCAACTTGGATAATATATTTGAGCAAAAGGGCAAAATGCTGTGGAGGGAAGAGAGACAGGCTGTAAAGAGTAAGGAAGATGACTTTGACGGAGATGCAGAACAACAGAATAACAGAGTTGGGAAGAGACCTTGGAGGTCTTCTAGTCCAACTCTCTGCTCAAGCACAAGACCCTATACCATTCCAGACATATGGCTGTCCAGTCTCTTCTTAAAAACCTCCAGTGATGAAACACCCACAACTTCTGAAAGCAAGCTGTTCCACTGCTTGATTGTTTTCACTATTAGGAAGTTTCTCCTTAGTTCTAAGTTGCTTCTCTCCTTGATTAGTTTCCATCCATTGCTTCTTTTCCTGCCCTCTGGTGCTTTGGAGAATAGTTTGACTCCCTCTTCTTTGTGGCAACCCCTCAGATATTGGAACACTGCTATCATGTCACCTCTGGTCCTTCTTTTTCACTAGGCTGGACAACGTCCGTCACACAAATGGCAACATAAACTTGCCATAACTTGTCATAGAGACTTGTGAATAAGCCAAGAGTTTTACCTGCTAAAATACATCCCCAAAATTGGGTTTGGCTTATCCAGGGATGGACGTATTCACAACTATATACAGTAATTCTTTTAAAAAGTGCCCGTGTATCTCTGTACCCTGTATGTAATAATGATTAAAAGCTCATCTATGGGTAATCTGACCCTCACATTTTTGACCAAAATACAATTAAAAAAATGTGCCATCCACGGAAAAAATGTGGATAAGCCAATTTTAAACATATTTGTATGTTTTAATCTTTATAATTGGCTTAACTGCACATGATATCGTATTTTGGTTAAAAATGTGAGGTTGGTTTATATGCAAATATGAATGGTAAATTCAGCACAGACAAATCATATTTGGAAGAGGCTTAGACATTTCCCTAATTGACAGGAGTATAAGAAAGGGAGAGAGGTATAGTACCTACATCAGATTTGCAAAATTCTGCTATTTCAGCCAATCTCAATAAAGGAGTTTTAGCCTTCCTTCGGAGCTGATTTCCTGGTCTGGTAGTGGAGTGGACAGAAAGGGCCAGAAAGCAAGTTGTGTTCACACACAACAATACAGAACACCAATAAACGGGTTCTATCAGAAGAAATGTGTTTTTAAGATACTGTTATCAAACTGGAATCAACATTTTTGTTCCATCATATACAAGAGGTGTTTTGTTTTAGTTTTAACCTCATTTGTTTATATGGAAAATTACATAACAAAATGAGCTACAGGAAATAATAAAGTGCACGGGCCCTTACGACAAAGGTCATCAGTACCTGCAGACGCCACGGCCTCTGCTACACTTGTAACCAGATAGTGTCTACATCCCTCAAAATTGCTTAAATGAAAAATTGTGTATGTACTTTTCAAAATGGGCTGAAATCTTGCAAAGTCTCAAACTTGCAAGTTCTCAGACAACAACCCCGACATCTTTTCATTTTTCAGTGTTATCGCTTGAGATCTTATACTAACTCAAAGTCAGACCGCTAAATTCAGATCTGGGCATAATGTGTACTTCTGCAACAGGAAACAGACTGCTATTCAGTCACTTCTAACTCCTCATGATGTAACAAATGTTCCTTCGCCAGGGCTGTTCAGTAATCATTAGACTTTGAGATCTTGTGAGATGAGTCACCAATGATGATATCTAATCTTGCAGTCTTCTCTTGGCTTTTTTCCATTGCCTTCCAGGCTGCCAGACATCAGGATCTTTGCCAATGAGTTGTCTTTGCATGATGCGGTCCAAAATATTCCCAAAGATATATTCAGCTCCCACTTTCCAAGTTTCCTCCTAAGACTTGGCTCGGGTTCCCAGGCCTGGGGTTAGTTAGGATGTTTTGGGGGCTTTTACAATGGAGGTGGAACCCCAGGAGGGAGGGAGGGGGGGCATTCCAGAGGAGTAAGAGGGAACTCAGCCCAGATATTATGTGTGAGAGAAAGAGGATGAAGACAGCCCCTCCCTAATCCAGATAATCCTCGACTTACAACAGTTCATTTAGTGACCATTCAAAGTTACAACCGAATTTTTAAAAAGTGACTTATGACCATTTTTCACACTTACAACCATTGAGGCATCCCCATGGTCACATGATCAAAATTCAGACACTTGGCAACTGACTCATATTTATGACGGTTGCAGCGTCCCAGCATCGTATGATCACCTTTTGTGACTTTCTGACAAGCAAAGACAAAGGGGGAGCCAGATTCATTTAACAACCCTGTTATTAACTTAACAACTGCAGTGACTCACTTAACAACCGTGGCAAGAAAGGTCGTAAAATGGGGCAAAATTGCGACTGTCTCACTTAGCGACAGAAACTTTGGGCTCAATTGCAGTTGTAAGTTGAGGAATACCTGTAGTGTTGAAGTCTGGAGTGCATAATCATTATTAAGATAATAAATTATTAAGATAATAAAATAAGTGCAACTGTTGTTCCGGGCTTTAATCCAGCAACATATTTATTTAAAAGATTTATATGGCTGCCCGTCTTACACAACTCTGTGCAGCTTACAACAACCGTGAATAACCAATAAATAAAACAATCATAAAAAAACAACAAAATGAACAAAAACCTGGCATTGTAATCATGACCTATCAGTGCTCCTTCTAATTATCAGCTGTTCTTTCTCAGTAGTTGGATAAATATGAAATATATACAGTAGAAGAGAGAGCTTAGGAAGTCCACCAAAGGAATAATATAATTAGTCCTCGACTTACTACCACAATTGAGTTCAAAATTTCTGTTGCAAAGCAAGACAGTTATTAAGTGAGTTTTGCCCCAATTTTACGACCTTTCTTGCTGCAGTTGTTAAGTGAATCACTGCAGTTGTTCAGTTAGCGACACGATTGTCAAGGGTTTCCCCACTGACTGTGCTTGTCAGAAGGTTGCAAAAGGGGACCCTGAGACTGCGACCGTCATAAATATGAGTCAGTTGCCAGTGCACCTAAAAAAAAAATGGGACTTCCATTACATGGTGGCAGCCTCCATCCAGACTTTTGTTGGCTCAGGAATTCTGGGAGTTGAAGTCCAGGAGTTGTAAAGTTCCCATAGTTGCCCATCCCTGCTGTATAGACTCTTCTATTGTCCATGAGGACGATGCATCGGTCGCAAGTGTGAAAAAACAGTCATAAGTCACTTTTTTTTCAGCGCCATTGTTAACTTCGAACGGTTGCTAAACAAATGGTTGTAAGTCGAGGACTATACACAGAGGAGGAGGAGGAGGAGGAGGAGGAGGAGGAGGAGGAGGAGGAGGAGGAGGAGGAGGAGATCGCAGTCTTACCTCTAGCACCACCACAGATATTATAGCACCTTCCGGACTCAGCCAAGGAAAAAGACGCTGCAGCTGCCCACACTGGCCAATCAGGTAACAGTTCACCACAATCGCCAAGACGCCCATGGCCTCCATCACTTTCTGCAGGGGAGGAAGGGGGGGGGGGGGGAGAAAGGCCTTTTTAAAAAAATGAGGCACTTTCAGGGACCAACTTCAGAAGAATCATTCTCTTTTTTTAGCAACTTGAAAGGCTGCATAATACACAGGTAGTCCTCCACTTACAGTAGCTCATTTAGTGACTGTTCGAAATTCGAAGTCACTGCAGCATCCCCATGGTCACGTGATCCGTTGCTTGGCAACCAATTCCTATTTATGATGGGTCCAGTGTCTTGGGATCATGGGATCCCCTTTTGACAAACAAAATCAACGGGGGAAGCTAGATTCACGTAATAACCATGTTACTTAACGACTGCAGTGGTTCGTTTAACGACTGTCGCAAGAAAGGTTGTAAAATAGGGCAAAATTCACTCAACAGCTGTCTCACTTAGGAACATAAATTTTGGGCTCAGTTGCGGTCGTAAGTCGAGGACTATCCATACAGTGTAACGGAAGCAAACTTGAGGGAAGCCGTAGAGTGACAGGCAAAACGAGATGTCCTTCAATCAATATGTAGTTACGGGACTCGTATGATATGGCAATGGCTACCAAGCCAGTGATTTTCACCAAGAGGGGAAAAAAAAAAATTCATTTGTGGAAGAGTAGCAGTGAGCTGTCAATTAATGGCTTTTAGGTAACTAAATAAAGCTTTCACAATCAGGTGCAATTTACCTCAGAATACAGTTAGTTTACAAACACAATTGAGACCAGAACTTTGGTTGTTAGGCAATGTTATTAAGTGACTCATCACGTGACCGCATAAGAATGTCATGACTTTTTGCCAGTGTTGTTAAGCAAATTGTGCAGCTGTTAAGTGAATCCAGCTTTCCCCATTGGCTTGCTTATTGGAAACCAGCTGGAAAGATTACAAATGGGGATCACGAGACCCTGGGACACTGCAGCTCCAAACGCTGCTAGCCAGCTGGCACAAAGCTAGTTTGCCCCTATGATGCACCATGGATAGCCTTGCATGTGTGAACTAGTAAGGCTGCCAGAACTACCCTGTGGTAAAAAACACTGTAACCTTCCCTGGCTATGTACACCATATGTTAAACCCTGCCCCCCAACAACCTGCAGCTGTTATAAATTCAGGCTGGTTGCCAAGCATCCGAATCATGTTACCATGGGGGTGCTACAATGGTGCAGTGTGACCACCATTGTAACTTCAAATTGTTCCTAAATGAATGGTCATAAATTGAGGACTATCTGTATCAGTTTGTCCATGGCCAAGAACGGAGGGACTATTGCCTTCATGAAAGTTGGAACAGAACAGAACAACAGAGTTGGAAGGGACCTTGGAGGTCTTCTACTCCAACCCTCTGCTGAAGCAGGAGACCCTCTACTATTTCAGACAAATGTCTGTCCAATCTCTTCTTTAAAAGCCTCCAGTGATGGAGCACCCATAACATCCGAAGGCAAGCCGTTCCACTGGTTAATTGCAGCCACATGAAAAATCCAGGCTTACCTGCCACTCTCCAATGCTTTCCACCCGCTGCCCAAAGGGCCGTTGGAGCCCCGTACACAACTTGAAGGCATCGCTCCGGATCTCAATGATATTGTTGATCAGGGCACACAGTGCAGCCAAGGGAAAAGACGACGAGAAGAGGACCACGTAGCCAAATTGGATGAACATCTCCTGGTAATCTTGAAAAGTGTCCTGGGTTGGGACAGGATCAAAATGTCGGGATGTCTCGTGTGTGCATGTGCAAGAGAGAACTACAAAGCCCATGCAGCACCTTCCTCATTTGTTCTTTTCTAAACTTCTTTTATTCTGAAGTTTAGCACTTGGTGTCTGAAGCTGCCTTGTTTTCTTTTGCAGGAAGGAGCTCCAAAGATAGCAAAAACGAGTAACTTTCAGAACTCACCATCTTTCATAGTGGATAGTTTTTTTTTAAAGGTCCAAATACCAATTAATTAAACAGACTAATTAATCAATAGTCACACGAATGGCCTGCTTGCCTATTAGAGAAGCACATTTGGGTCTTACCTCATATTTTTTCATGCAGCTCTCCACTTCGGCTTGGGCAAGCTGCGTGGTGTAGTTCTCCTCTGGTGGATCGATCCATGAGGACCTGGCATGTCTTCGATTCTCATAACCATCTTCCTCTTCTTCTTCTTCTTCTTCTTCTTCCTCCCCTTCTGTGAGGTTCTTGCCCACCCGTGCCCTCCGAGTCCGCATAATAACAGCTGGCTCCTTAGCTTCTGGTAGGGTCTTAAACGGGCTCTCTGAGGCTTCGTCACTCTCATCATCATCTTCACACAGCTCAAAGACCGAGGACGGGTCCATCCCTTTCTCCACCATGGTGGGACTACCTTCTTCCAGGAAGCTCATGTCCTCTAAGCTGGGATCCCCCGTCTTGCGGTCAGCCTTTTCAATAAAGCTCACTTTTTTCAGCTTCAACCCACAGTCAATGATGCTCTCATCTTCTGAGTCTGATTCCTTCTTCTCCTCTTCCTCTTCTTCAGGCACGCCGCACCCCCCATTGAGGCATTTCTTCTCCCCTTTGGCGGCCCCCTCTGGGGCCTCGTGGACCTCTGGCCTGTGGCCCGCCGGCGAGTCACCATGCCTGGGGTGCCGAGGGTTGGTGCCATACGATGTGGTGAATGTGTACTTCTGGGTCAGCAGGCGGAAGAGGGTATGGGTCACCTCCCGAAGGTTTTGCATACTGAAGTCACCATGCTTGAACTTGCTGTATAAGTGGGGCTGTGAGACTTCCTTAATATTCTGCAAGAACTGGCGGGTGATGAGGAGTGTAGCCAGCATCTGAAAGAGGCAGGAGGGAAGAGTAAGGCATCCAGGTATTAGCCCTTCAGGACAGACAAGACTAGGAAGCAAAAGTCATGCAGCTCAATACTACTTTTTTTCATGAGGTTATGGTAACAGAATCTTACAAGTCTGGATGCATTTAACCCCTCCCTTTATCTTATAGAATACAGAATAGAGTTGGAAGGGACCTTGGAGGTCTTCTAGTCCAAGCCCCTGCTCAGGCAGGAAACCCAATACCATTTCAGACAAATGGCTGTCCAATCTCTTTTTAAAAGCTCTAGTGTTGGAGCACCCAAAACGTCTGGAAGCAATTTGTTCCACTGATTGTTTTCACTGTCAGGAAATTTCTTTTTAGTTCTAGGTTGTTTCTCTCCTTGATTAGTTTCCACCCATTGCTTCTTGACCTGCCTTTGGGTGCTTTGGAAAATAGGTTGACCCCCTTTTCTTTGGGGCACCCTCTTAGATATTGGAAGATTGCTATCATGTCACCCCTATCCTTCTTTTCATTAAACTGGACATACCCAATTCCTGCAACTGTTCATTATGTTTTGGCCTCCAGTCCCCTAATCATCTTTGTTCTTCTCTGCACTCTTTCTAGAGTCTCAATATCTTTTTTTTATATCGTGGCGACCAATGCTGGATGCGGTATTCCAAGTGTGGTCTTACCAAGGTATTATAAAGAGGTATTAACATTTTATCTTCATGAGAACTAGGGAGGGTCTTATCTGAGAAGACTTTTCAGAGTACAGTTTCACCCTGGATTCAGCTTTCTTTTATCTGACAGTTGTCTTAGTAGCTGCTCTTCCTCTTGTTCACAATATTATTCCCTCTGCCCCTCATACCTGGGGAGAGTTGTGAGATAGTCAATCAGCTGGACACACTGAAACATCTATTTTGGCCGATGAAGTAGGACAAGGTGCTCCCTGCCTGTCATTCTCAGCCAGTTATACCTTAGTAACAACAGCTACTCACCTCTGGAATTGAACCATCCAATACATTTATAGGTCATCCTAAAAATATTATTTTAAGGGGAACCTCAATCCTCGACTACGTAGAGAGCAAGAGCCTCCAAATCCTTTTTGTTCTAGAGGACACATTTCAGATTTTGAGAGGATGTTGTGGGTATGCTCACAAAATGGTTGTTGTGATGGTCAGGATGAATCATAAAGTATCAGAAGTCATAAACACTGAAGTTGGCCTCCATTCTTTAGTTTACTCTTTACTATCTTAGCTTATATTAACTTTCACTTTTGCCTGATTAGATGAGCTCACTTCCAACAAAGCTGTGACAGCTCACCAATTTCTCAGTTGTGAGAAAGTTTGCTTTGTAATTGGGGTCTCTATAGAATAGGGGTCTTCAAACTTGGCTCTTTTATGACTTGTGGACTTCCACTCCCAGAATTCCTCAGCCAGTGTGCCTGGCTGAGGAATTCTGGGAGTTGAAGTCCACAAGTCATAAAAGGGCCAAGTTTGAAGACCCCTGCTATAGATATATTCTACAGGAAGCCCTTATAAGCAGTCAGTTAGTGACTGTTTGAAGTTACAACGGACCCCCCAAAAGTACTTACAACCTGGTTCTGAAGTTTTGATGACCAGGCTCCCTCCACAGCCACATGACTGTATTTCGGACATGCGGTCACCGGCCCACATTTATGGCCATTTACAGTGTTCTGCAGTCATGTGACCACAGTTTACAACATTTTTGCTGAAAGCTGGAGTTTACGTCCAGTTTTCAGCAAAAATGCCTCACAGCAAACGATGGAGTTTGTGTAACACCACGGATTCACTTAACAACTGCCATAAAAAAGGTCATACAATTGGGTGGACATTGGCAGGTTTTTCCTAATGGTAAAAACTGGTCAACAATGGAACAAACAAGGATGGATGGCCTTGGGGTTAATGTAGTGATTGGACAAGATCCGTGTTTCTCAACCTTGGCAACATGTTAGCTGAGGGATTCTGGGAATTGAAGTCTATACATCTTAAAGTTGTCAAGATCAAGAAAATTTGAAGTAGATCTTAAGACCCCTCCAGCCCTTTCATTCTATAATTCTAAGCTTCAACAGCAAAAAAAAAAAAAGTCAAAATAATGCATTTGTGAGAAATAGGCAAACTTTTATAAATTATTTAGACCTTAACTTGACTTGCCTCTTAAAAAGTAACCATTTAAATAGATTAACATCATATGCTGATGTTATTTCTCTAGTTTCCTTTCATCTAAGTATCTAGCTGAGATTGTTTGCTGATGTAAATCTATCATCATCATCATCATCATCATCACCATCATCACCATCATCATCGGGCATAATTTGGAGAAAAAAAGCTAAGTTATATAGTTTACCATTAAGAAAGAAGTACCGGTATAAGCAATTTTTTTTATGAGAAGGGTACAAGGGTCTGAAGCTACATTTCTAAGTCCGCACTATCTGGATATAATAAAAAATAAAGCAAGAGCTTAAATAAGAGGAACTAGATGGAAGTCCTAGGATACTAATTTAGCTGAAACCAACCTGTCTTTAAAATGTCAAAATTAATCTAATATTAAGCGTGCAGTTGTTTGCAAATTTAGGAACTATTTTTCTTGCCAAAATGTGTTATTATAAACCTACAATCTTGATCTTAATTCCTATGGTTTGGAAACAAACTAAGTTTCTGCTACCAGAAAGTGGTCATAAGACTGTAGCCTGCTATATGTGATTTCTTCTCTAAGGGTGTTTAAGTCTTAGGATGGAGCAGCATTTTGGATTGAAGCCAAAAAGATACACTAGAACAGCGGTTCTCAACCTATGGGTCGCGACCCCATTTGGGGTCGATTGACTATTTCACGGGGGTCGCCAAGCAAGGCTGTCCGCCATTTTTTTCCCCTTTTCCGGCGGGTGCCTTACCTCCCTTGAGCTGGGCCAGCTGGTGGTCGGCCTGCTCCGTCTCTGCCGCTTGCCAGCTACGCCTCTGCCGGCGCAGGGAGCGGAACCACGCATGTGCAGTGCTCCCGGGCACTTACGACCGGTTGGGTAGTCCTCGACTTATGGCCGGGTTAGTCCTCGACTTACGACCGGTTGGGGGTCGCGGCATTAAAAAGGTTGAGAACCACTGCTCTAGAAGTGCAACTCTTTGAACCAAACACATTTTCCCCAGTATCCTATTTCTCTGCAAAGGACAACAACACCATTCTGCCAAAAATCAGAATTTCTTGAAGGCGTTGTAGGCAGGTGAGCACTCAATTACTTCAAAACTCTTTTTGCTTTCCATTCTGAAAGCCTGTTGAGCCCCCCATGCTGGTTTCATCATTTTTTACCAGTCTTAAGTAAATCTTGGTCAGAGCTGTTAACTGCAAAACGTCTCTTTCTTTTGCTAATGGGAAAGCAAGTCTTCTTACAATGCATCGGACCAAATAAATGGGATTGCAGCTCGGGTTCTGCAGCCTGCTTATTCCTCCTCACCCCCCACCCCTTCCATATACCCTCCATCGTCAGGATCCTACTTTGGAGATGCCCAGATGCCAGCAAAAACTCAGCAAACCCTTAAAGGAGATGAGATAGAGGTGAAGTTGGAGAGTGATGGAGGGAAGGACCGCGTCTTTAAGCTGACGCACAAGGCTTTGCAAGAGAGAAAAGATGAGCAGGAGCTGTGGAGGGCAATACGGACAAGACAGAGAGACAAAGAGAGAGAGAAAAAAACCATGAAAAATTAAAAGAACCCATTAAAAAAAGGAAGAAAGGAAGAAAACCATGTTAGGAATGGATTCAAAGTGGCTGATAGTCCTTGGCTTTCTGGGATGCACCTTTTTTGAATGCCCCGGGGACATTTTTGGACGTAAACGTATCCTGATAAAAATGGCATATTTACCTTTGACCAACACTGTTACTGGTTGGAATGGAGCCCAGTGCAATTTACCCCCTTCCCATTTTCCCTTGGCTGTGATCTCCCACATTCACGAATGCCATACCTCCTTGAGGCGCTCCATGTCTTTGAGGTAGAATCCAATGTAGAAAAGACTTAGGTATGAATTTACAAATTGAAACTGTTTGGAGAAGAGAGAGAGAGAGAGAAGCCATGAGAGAGAGAATTGATGTAACAAGATTAAGACTGTCTCATTGTTTGTCTCTAAGTTTGGGCAATTTACGGAGGGGCTATAGCTGAATCGTTTTAACAAAAACAGTCCTGCTGAAATCAAAACAAAATGACCTTCATTGAGAATCAACAGTCCAGATAAAGGAAGAGAAAGTGTGCATTTTTGCACACCCCATCACGACCAACATTTGGGTGGATCAGTGTGATTAGCAGCATTAAATAGAAGCATTACAGATAGCCATTGAGTCACGACCGTCATGGAGCTACAATGTGACAGGACTAAAGTAAGTTGGTTACATGATTTTATGAACTTATTGGCATCAGTCCTTAAGTAAACATGGTGGTCATTAAGCAAACACAGTGGTCATTAAGTGAACCCATGGTTTGCTATGGCCCAATCTTGTCAAAAAACAAAGGGCTATATTTTTTTTTGTAAAATATCCTGCAAACTGCCATCTATGTGGCCTATTTGCCAAGCACCTGAAGTCTGAACATGTGACCCTGGGGGGCGAGGAGCTGACCATCAGAATGTCAAGTCTGGGTCACAAGTATCTCCCCAATAGGTCCAGCGGAAATTCAAATGGTCACTAAGCAACCAGTTGTAAGTTGAAGACTAAATCTAATCTCGCCAACGGAGAGACTTTCTCGCCAAAGGCTCACCAAAGAAAATCGAAGCCATCAAAACTAATAGGCCCCTGTCTGGAGAAACTCATCCTGTTAGATTTTTTGAGACTGTGACCTACTTTTAGAACTGAAACAGAAGTTTCAAAAAGGCTCGACTTACCAGGACCATTTTGATGATGAGGTGTTTTTCGTAGGCACTCTGCAAGCGGTAATTTTCTGCCAGGAAAAGGAATGAGGAGGAGGTGAGGAGGTAAAACATGGCAGTTTGGAATTAGGTGGGTCTTTTCTACAACCAGAATAAACTGACTTCTTGTCAGGGCCCCCAATCCTTCTTGTTTTCCATGCTTATGTGCTCCTGTTTTGGGGCATGCCATTCTGCTGGGGGAAGGGGGGGAATTTGCTTTCGCTTGGGATAACTTTTGCTTTCTACCTTTCCTCTCCTGCCTCTATCCACTTGAGAAAGGAATGTGTCTCCCTTATCAGGGAGACAGTTACAGAGAAAGGAAACTGGAGAAGACCTTGAGATGCCCGGCAACTGTACCGGTCACCCATACATCGTGCCAGCTGAGGATTGGCTGAATTTCAAATGGACATTATGACTCTGGTGGGAGGAGGAATATTGCTGGTTTAACTATACCAGGGGTAGGCAACCTTGGCTCTTTTATGACTCGTGGACTTCAACTCCCAGAATTCCTGAGCCAGCCATGCTGAGGGGAAAGGGAGAGGTTTCCAAGCTGAGCCATGCTAGCTCAGGAATTCTGGGAGTTGAAGTCCACGAGTCATCAAAGAGCCAAGGTTGCCTACCCTTGAACTATACCATTTAAGCAGGATTTTCCCCAGACCTCGCCTTGACTTCCCTACAGTCACTAACCCCTAATAAAAGTTTCTTTTTGAGACAATGCCTGTTTCAAGAGTTCTGCTTTCTTGAGTGGTTAGCTGAGGCGGGTCCTTACACTTCTCAGTGGCAGTGGTAAGCCTAACCAGAAGTCACTGCAGTAAGATGGGTGATCAATAAATATGATAAACAATCAATCAAACAAACCTCTTTGGGTACCATGTGTCAACAATTTAATGAATATTGGTATTCCTGGCAAACATTCTCTGAGTAGTAACCATCTTTTTTATATATCTGATGATATATGTTATGGCTGAGAATTTGATACAGGCTATTATCTGCTGTCTATGCCATGGAGTCTAGAGACTGATTGTCGATTAGTTGGCATTTAGTGGAGGCACAGGAATGACACTTGACAGGTATGGCCAGACTTGCCAGATCAGATCCAAGTGGACTCATCTGGTACCATGTCTTATATCAGGCAAGTGCTGGTGAGAAGCTAAGAAGAAGTACATAAAGTGAGGGTCCATCCCAGCTTAACCGTAGCTTCGGGTACTTTTGTTGCAATGCTTCTCTATGAACTAAAGATGCTTTTTCCAAAAGGCAACTGGACTGTCTTGGGTTTTCTTCCTTTGAAAATGTTTCACTTCTCATCCAAGAAACTTCTCCAGTTCCGGTGAAGTCCTGGTGAACTGAAGAAGCTTCTTGGATGAGAAGTAAAATGTTTTGAAAGGAGAAAACCGAGAAAGTTCAGTTGCCTTTCGGAAAAAAACACTGCTGGGGCAACCATAACTTGGATGGTTGAGAATCTCCATAGACCAGGGGTCTTCAAACTTGGCCCTTTTATGACTTGTGGACTTCAACTGCCAGAATTCCTCAGCCAGGCACGCGTGCCTGGCTGAGGAATTCTGGCAGTTGAAGTCCACAAGTCATAAAAGGGCCAAGTTTGAAGACCCCTGCCATAGACAAATGCTTCTCTCAAGAATGAAAGCAAATATACATATCCCAGGATGATGTTGCAATCCAGGTTGGTCATCGGGACCAGAGATTTACTCTTCCGAGTTTTGGGACTCGTGCTGGAGCCCATCTCCAGGGAACATCTCTCTACTGGAATATGTGCTAAATACGATGCACAGACTAGCCCAAAGCACGTATTCCAGTAGAGAGACGTTCCCTGGATATGGGCTCCAGCACGAGTCCCAAAGCTCGGAAGAGTAACTCTCTGGTCCCAGTTACCAACCCGGATTCGATCTTGCAAATGCTTCTCTCTCTTTCATAACTGATGTCTCAGCATTCTATGAAAAAAACTACAAGCCAGAAACCAAAACTTCACTTTTTTTCCAAGAAGCAGATTTTCAAAGCACTTGATTATGACCATCATCAGTTATTGTAAGTTTTAAAATAACACAAACATGGCAATCAAACTGCTGAAAATAATTCCTATTGCTATACCTCTAAAACCAAGGAGTGTTTTGCCAGAGTGAGAGCAATTTTCCCCGCAAACAAAAAATATATCAAAATGAGGAGTTGGTGGGGAGAGATAATAATAATAATAATAATAATAATAATAATAATAATAATAATAATAATAATAATAATAATAATAATAATAATAATAATAATAATAATAATAATAATAGTAGTAAAGTTGGAAGGGACCTTGGAGGTCATCTAGTCCAACCCCCTGCTCAGGCAGGAAACCCTATACCATTTCGGACAAATGGCTGTCCAGTCTCTTCTTAAAAACTTCCAGTGTTGGAGCATTCACCGCTTCTGGAGGCAGGTTGTTCCACTGGTTAATTGTTCTAACTGTCAGGAAGTTTCTCCTTAGTTCTANCTCGTCCTTCTCTTCATTAAACTAGACATACCCAATTCCAGCAGCCGTTCCTTATATGCTTTAGCCTCCAGTCCCCTAATCATCTTTGTTGCTCTTCTCTGTACTCTTTCTAAAGTCTCAACATCTTTTTTACATCGCGGTGACCAAAACTGGATGCAGTATTCCAAGTGTGGCCTTACCAAGGCATTGTAAAGTGGTAGCATGCAAAACCTTGTTTTATTTTGGTTCGTAAGCCCACTTCTGAGGTTGTCCCAGTCCTAGATTTTAGGGAAGTACTGCTAGGATGCTCAGCATCCTTGGTTCACAGCATTCAGCTGGAAACTAGCTATGTTGTTCTGTCTCTGCTCTTCTTTCTCTTGTGGGCCTTTCACTGATTTAGCTAGGGAAGTTCCTCCCAGCATCTAGAACAGTGTTTCTCAACCTTAGCAATTTCAGGATGTGTGGACTTCAACTCTCAGAATTCCCCAGCCAGCGAACTGGCTAGGGAATTCTGGGAGTTTAAGTCCACAGATCTTAAAGTTGCCAAGTTGAGAAACGATGATCTGGACTGCTTCTAGAAATTCCCAGATTCTGTGCATCTCTTGGGTTGGACACAATTAAAAAGTTTCCTCTGATCCATTTAAGGTTAGTTTTCTTTGGATCAGAAGATGTGCATTGTGGATATTTACCCATGTCATTTAACCAGTAGGCAATTTTTCTGTAGACTTCATCGCAGACGGTGACGATGACGGCCAGCATGATTTTGGGCAAGAAGCGAACAAGGCGCGGCAGTTCCTTGATGCTCAGCACAAATTCCTGATCAAGGTGGAGGAAGAAACAAATTGGAGAGCCAGGGTTACATCACATTGGTAAAGACAAATGGCTTTTCGTAAGGGCAGACGCTCCTTATTTCTACCAATTCCTATTAATTATTTCTATGCTATGAATTTAAGCATTTTCCAAAACAACAACAACCCTAAGCTAATATGACCATCAACAAAGTTGCCTACAGATAGTCCTTATTTACAAACATTCGTTTAGCAATCATTCACAGTTACACTGAAAAAAGTGACTTATATCTGGTCCTCACACTTATGACCATTACAGTACGGTCACGGGATCAAACTTCAAGTGCTTGGCAACCAGCATGTATTTATGATGATTACAGCATCCCAGGGCCCTGTGATCCCCATTTATGACCTCCCCACCTAGCTTCAAACAATCAAAGTTAATGGGGACAGTTGGATTCATTTAACGATCACCTGATTCGCTTAATAACTGCAGTGATTCACTTCATAACCATTGCAAAAATGGTAGTAAAATTGAGTGAGACTTACAGTATTTATTAGCTGACTTGCTTAACAACAGAAATTCTGGTCCCAGTTGTGGTCATAAGTCAAGGATTACCTCTATTATCTATCTATCTATCTATCTATCTATCTATCTATCTATCTATCTATCTATCTATCTACCTACCTACCTACCTATCATCGTTCCATTCATTCATTCAATTTACATTTCTCTATTTCAATCAAGACTTCTAGCTGGTTAACAAAACACATTTAAAACATTGCCAATAAACTGTATAAAAATAATATCTGTGATAAAGTAATAATAGAAGTCAGTCAATATCAATCAATAACTCAATTACTAGCACATATCCACCAGATTAATCCTGTCATTCAATTAGTAACCTAATTAACTCAGATGGCATCAGCTCAATCTAAAAATGCTCCACAAAAGGGCTCAGTTTAAGTGTTTTCCTAAATGTCAGCAGGATGGAGGCAAGTCGAATATCCACAGGGGCTGTTCCAAAGAATGAATCCACCTTCTAGCTTCAGCAACTCTTACTTCCCAAACATAGTGCTTTTCCTAAGATGTGCAGGCCATATCTGAACCACTGCAATTGAATGATGTGAATTGCACCTTTAGGGATCCTTTACGGCAGTGTTTGTCAACCTTGGCACCTTTAAGATCTATGGACTTCAACTCCCAGAATTCCCCAGCCAGCTCTGCTAGGAAAGAAATTCTGGGAGTCCACACATCTGCTTTAAATATGTGTTGTCTCAAAGCATCAATTTGTTAGGATAGTAATATGGTACCCAGCTGTGGTTGCTATCCAGATCAGCAGCATCCTCAATGGGGAAACAATGGAAGAACCACAGCTAAGTTAAGAGAAATTAAGTGTTCTACTATTCTGGTTTATCAGTTGCATTGCATGGGATATTTTAGCCCTTGCTATTCAGTACTGACATAATATTCATGGCCAAATAGTGATATATTATCTAAATTTACGTTGCAGCCTTGGCTAGCTAATAAAATGCATTATCCTCATTGATAGTAGTGGTTGGGAGAATATTCTGAGGATGATGATTGGCTGATGAGCAGCCAATGGCATTATTTCCCACCCTCCTCCACAAGATATGATGCTACCCCCCTCTCAGGACTAACAATGACTGAGTAATTAAACTGAGTAAGATGTAAAATGAATCTTCTCTGAAAGTGCAGGAAGCATTGTAAAAGGTATACACCATGGCTCTGTGATAGCCGAAGCTTCCCTTTTCTTTTCAGAGCATTAAGAGTCAGCATAACACTGTTTAAATCTTAGACTGGGGCAAGAGAAAGTCAGTATTGTGTGATGAGCAGCCAGGACATCTGATGGAAACAGCAAATAAGAAAAGGCACATGGACTGGATTGTGGGCCCTGTCTACCCACAATGCCAGAAACACCTCACCTGCAATTCGAAGCAGCCCAGCATGGTAAGGAAGACAAAGGAGAGGCAGAAGATACAGATGGGCACGCTCACCAAACACTGGAAGAGCAACCGCTTCCAAGGCGGATAGTAGAACTCTTCTGTGTTGGTCACTGGACTGATGCGCTTCACACCCTGCAAAGAAAGGAGACGCCGCCATTGACATCACCAAGAGTTGGGGGGGACTCTTGGGGGATTCTTTGGGGACTCTCCCGAGGCTTGTTACAGGACCAAGAGAACAACTGCAGGTAGTCTTCGCGTTACAACCGTCATGGAACCAGCCCATTATGGCCCTGTAAGTTGTAATGTTTTTGTTACTCCTGCCGTCGTGACTTGAGGGGCACCTGCAGATTTTGGTCCACGTTGCTGGCACTCAGTTTTTTTTCCATGTTTTCAAGTTTTGGGGGCTAACTAAGTTAGAGGGGAGACTGAATTTAAGCCTTTTGTTGTTGTTAGTTGCGAAGTCGTGTCCGACCCATCGCGACCCCATGGACAATGTTTCTCCAGGCCTTCCTGTCCTCTACCATTTTCTGGAGTCCATTTAAGCTCACGTCTACTGCTTCAGTGACTCCATCCAGCCACCTCATTCTCTGTCATCCCCTTCTTCTATTGCCCTCAATCTTTCCCAGCATTAGGCTCTTCTCCAGTGAGTCCTTCCTTCTCATTATTTAAGTTTCAACTTCAGGATCTATCTCCCTAGACTTGATGTATAGAGTTTTCTCCCTCTTGCAAGTTAACAGGTGCCCATTTAAAATCGTAAGGAGTGCCATGTTAGACCCAACAAAGGCATATAAATTTAATTAATAAATCAGAGCAGAGAATCCTGGGCTAAATGAGAGGTGGATGACTATGAATGTTGAGATATATGCGTGTGACATGCCTAGATTTTTTCCATGGACATGGACAGCACAAATTATTATTTATTAAACTTGTATTTTCTTCTTTTCTGAGCTAGATGAGACACTACTGACCCGGAACTGTGGCCGAGGCTCTTCAATGGATTCTGCTGGTGTGTCCAATGTTCCCCACTTGTACGCAAATTCGGCTCCCCGGCGTTTCCACTCCTCCAGGAACAGGGTGGACCAGATAACATTGAAGATGGCAAATATAACAGAGCAAATGTCCCGGCTGGTCTAATTAGGAGGGAAAGAGATGATTAATGAAGAGCAACAAAGGACTGGAATTTCCACTATTTGAACAGTTTAACAGTTTCTAAAGAGGGTTGCCTATCCCAGCTCACCATCAATCAGAAAAATCAACTCCAACAATTCTCCTTGGGATGAGAATGTCACAATAAAGAAGAATATTTGTAGCTCAGGATTATTAGTCCATACTGATGATGTTAGATGTTAATTTGGATAGATGTTTGGGTAGATGTTAGTGTGGGGGACGAAATGTTTGCAAGAAAACAACAAAGCTCAAAGAGCACTAAGGACTGGAAGGCGGTGCAGAGAGTGGTGAGAATGGCCGAAAAGATCATTGGCAGTTCCCTCCCTCCCATCCAGGACATGGCACAGAAGCGCTGCTTGAGCAGGGTCCATAAGATCATCTGGGACACTACACATCCTTTTCACGACCTGTTTTCCTTGTTACCTTCTGAGAGGAGGCTTCGTGGTATCCGAAGCAGAACATCCAGATTCAGCCAGAGTTTCATTCCATACAGCATTAACCTTGCGAACTCTCAAGCTTCCTCCTTCCATTATATATTCAAGATGGACAGTATTTAATATTTATTTGCTACGTATATTTAGAGATGTGGGTCTGTACATATGTTGTTCATAGTATGTTTAGGTGTGTGTCATGTATGTGTTTTACTTTGAGAGCAGGCAACTAAATTTCATTTTTGATGTGTGCCATTGTGCCCACAGTATAAAAATGACAATAAAGGTTATCTTATTTTATCTTATCTTATCTTATTACAAACCAGTAATCTTGGCCTATAATTTAACTCAAAATTCACCTTCCCATAATGGCCAGCCAGATAGACCTGATGACATTTATTTATTTTATTTATTTATTTTATTTATTAAATTTATATACCGCCCTATCTCCCTTGCGGGACTCAGGGCGGTGAACAGACGATACTAAAAACCACGGTAATAAATAGTTTGTTTTAAAATTGAATTAAATAACGGGCCTGTTCTAAAAACACACCCGTAAAAAACCCCCACTGAAACATAATCAAGCTACGCCAGGCCGGCCGCACGGAATAGATGGGCCTTCAAAGGGAACAGCCTTTTCCTCTGCACCTTAGCAGTAGTGTGCCAAATGTTTCATTCCAAAACATTCCTAGCACAAAATTTCAGACATGTCACATTTCAAATGTGAATGGTGCTGCTTTGAGCACGGGATTGTTCAGACGGCAAATGTAAGTGTTTTAGGCTTGCAGCATCTCTGTTTTTGAATCTGAAATCTTTTCAAAATGTTCCAGACAGTCTGTTCCACTCAAAACAGGATGCTGCACTTGAAACATTTCAAAATGGGGACATTTCACACACTCCTTGGATTTGACATCTCAAAGTGACCTCCATTGCACAAAGAAGTTCCTTTGTCATACTCATACCTAGTCATTATATATATAAAATCAGTGGTTTTTTCTCTCTCTCTGAAGCCAAAAAATAGGGACTGACTTGGTGGTAAAATCTTTAGGGTTAGTTGGTGATCAGAAGCATTGTGGAGGATACAGCAGGTTACCCTAGTAAAGGTAGACTGCCTTTGAAGCTGGAAGATACATTGTTAACCATGGATACTAGTAACCATTGAGCAAGAGAGAAGATCCCCTTTCAAAAGATCAAATCATCTATCTGATCCACCACCCTATTCTTAACAATGCTCAGATGTTCCCAGAAGTTCATTAACAAGAATGAAAGTCACAGCCTTTGATAGTTTTCATTTACTTAATTGGTTATGATGACAGGTGGGCCTCCATCTACAATGACAATTAGGACCAGAATTCCAGTTGCTAAGCAGGGCGGTTGTTAATTCGATTTTATGATCTTTTTTGCCACAGTTGTTAAGCGAATCACTACAGTTGTTAAGTGAATCGTGTGGTTGTTATACAAATCCAGCTTCCCTTAGTGACTTTGCTTGTCAGAAACTAGCTGGGAAGATGGCAAAAGGCTGTCACATGAGGGTCGCACTTGCAACCATCATACATACATGCTGGTTGCCAAGCACCCAAATTGTGATCGCGTGACTGTGGGGATGCTGCAACAGTTGTAAAAGCCAGGACCAGTTGTAAGTCATTTTTTCAGTGTTGTTGTAACTTCAAATGGTCATTAAACAAATGGTTGCACATTGAAGACTATCTATTACAGAGGTCAGATCCATCCTCGGTTAATGTCTGATCATCATTAAAGGCACTGGATTTTTGTTCATGTCCATAGGGAATGGATAGGCACAACATACAAGAACTAATTAACTTACGGCATTAGCAGCTATAGGTTGAATTAGGGTCTTTTGGTTACATTTTTAAACACTGAGAAACTATAGAGAAAATGTCAAATCATTAGCCAAGATAGTAAGCAGAATCCCAGTGAATGCAGGCAGGTAATCTGAATACAAGATCCTGGAGAGAATTACAAAGGACACCTATTGTTTCTAGATTGTCTTCTTGGTAGAGAAATAAAGCTTTCCACTGTTAGAATAGCACAAAGTGGGACTTCGATCAGACCCAGTTAAGTTCTAACCGATTCCAAGCATCCCTGTTCTATTTTTGCCTACTTTCAGGTGGTTTGCCAAGTATGATTGCATTTGGAGAAGGAAGATCTTGCGATCTCGCCTTAAGTGGCACAAGTCTAGGGTTTACTGTAATACACACCACATAACGGTATGCTTAGAGTCTCAAAGAATCACAACTGCACCACGTCTACATTCCTTAGCTTTCAAGTGGTTGATTAGCCTCCTTGTCTATCCACAGAGAGGCTGCTCGTTAAGAACTGAAAGAAGTCTTCACCTCAACAGCTGAAAGCAAAGTTGGACTCTAAAGTGAAAGTAACCCAGTTACTGCTTGTATCATTATCTCTTCCTTTAAAAAAACAAACCTTCATTTGGCAGAATGTGACATCAAAAGATTCACAAAAGTTTCAGGGCTTCGATCATATTACACCCTTTCAGCACTTCTACTTTCATAGCCTATTTGATTCCAAGAGCCAAAGAAAAACGGTTTTAATTTTTATAAGGTTAAGATGGGGCCAGGGATCAGTTGCATCCATGTCAACCTGCCAGAATGTTGTCATCAGTTGCTCAGACCCATTGGCACTCTTGAGGGTCAAAGGAGAGGACACAGTGTGTGTTGTGACATCATGGCCCAAGCCACTGACTTCCATACTTGCATGCAACATCATGCAACAATTACAGGCTGATTTAGAGTTTCCCACAGCTGCCTGTAGGGGTCGCTGCAAACCTATGTTGCAAAGGGTTTGATGGGTAAGTATTTGATGGGTAAGTATATGTAAGTATATTCCCAAATCCGAACTGTGTGTGGTGTGTGGTGCATGTTCTGCATGATGACTGGTCAATCCAGCTTCCCGTGCTTTGCTGTTTCAGTGGCCCCAAGTCAGAATTTTACATTTGCAGAAATATAAATGGAACACCTATGCACCCTGAGTGACGCATACGTTCCCTGATTCCAGAGAAGTCTACCCGAGCCTTTAATATGACCATGTATTCATCACAATATCACAATGCATGTATCAACATTTTCACATCATTATAATTTGTAGCCGATGCTGAGGCTGAATTCTATGGTCCTTCAGCAAGAATTCACCTATCCCAGGGGTAGGCGGCCTTGGCTCTTTTATGACTCATGGACTTCAACTCCCAGAATTCCTGAGCCAGCCATGCTGAGGGGAAAGGGAGAGGTTTCCAAGCTGAGCCATGCTGGCGCAGGAATTCTGGGAGTTGAAGTCCACGAGCCATAAAAGAGCCAAGGTTGCCTACGCCTGATAATCCAGAGAACCTTTGGAGAGTGAGAAGGGTGGCCTATAAATTACTACTATATTCGTGTCGAAAGGATTGAAAGGATTAGGTTGAAAGGATTAGCCGGTGATATCACAGTTGCCCAGGGGATGCCTGAAGGGGATCTTGTCATGTCCCTGGTATTTTCCCACCAAAGCAGTACCTATTTATCTACTTGCAGTTGCATGCTTTCAAACTGCCAGGTTTGCAAGCATATAAATTTCATAAATAAAATCAATGAATAAAAAGTTTTGGGGTGGTGAGAACTGGCCAGAGGGCCTTTTCCACTAATTTTCTAGAAATCTATTCCTGGAAAGTTATGTGTGAATTCCATGACTTGTTTTTAAGGCAAACATAGAGTTTTTCTTTAATTATCCTAACTGGGGTTTTAAACGATTGTTTTATTCTATTTGTAGTTTTCATTAGTATCTTATTTATTTATTATAATTTTATACCTCTGGAATAACCAGATTAGGATTTTTAAATAACATTATGAGCTACTCTGGCACAGATAACTCTGAAAAGTAGCCAATAAAGGAATGACTAACACAATAAACTGCTCTAAAGAAACAAACATAAATCCTATACAGGTAGTCCTCGACTTACAACAGTTTGTTTAGTGACCGTTCAAAGTTACAACGGCACTGAAAAACTTATGACCATTTTTCTCACTTATGACCACTGAGGCATCCCCATGATCACGTGATCTTAAATTTGGATGTTTGGCAATTGACTCATATTTATGACCGTATCCTGGGGTCATATGATCCCTTTTTGTGTCCTTCTGATAAGCAACATCAATGGAGAAGCCAGATTCACTTAACAACTGTGTTACTATCTTAACAACTGCAGTTATTCGCTTAACTGCAGCAAGAAAGTTTGTAAAATGGCGATGATGCTGACACTTAATTTTCTTCCAGTTTCTCCTTTGCAATTCCTTGCCTAACAGGATTAGGGGCTTCTTGGCAAGAACAAAATTGAAGCGTTAAATGATCATGAAGCAGGAAATAAGGTGAGCCTCCAGGCAAAGACTCGTTGTAAATTGAACCTGGGTATTCCCTGTTTCTTCGCATAGGAATTGGCAGCCCATGTAGGAATCTAGAGAGTACAGCTAAGTGGCAGGGTAGATAGGCTTATATGTGGATAGAACAGGGTTTCTTCACCGTGGGGGCTTGAAAATGTGTGGACTTCAACTCCCAGAATTCCCCAACCAGCATGCTGCTTGGGGAATACTGGGAACCGAAGTCCAGATATGAGTAGTTCTTGATTTATGACCATTCGTTTAGCAACTGTTCAAAGTTACAACAGTACTAAATATATATATA